CGACGGTCTGGGAAACATCCCTTGAGGTTTGATCCTTTGTAGAGGGGATGCCCCCCCCGCTTCGGTAGCCCGGTGACCTGCACCCGAAGTCGAGCACTTTATCGTAGAACAGTTTAACGAAGACCAATACCGCACACCCTCGGTCCCTACGCAGACTGACCCAAGTGGTCACCCATCCGCACACTGACCGCAGCCAGTGATGCTTGACTTCGGTGATCTGCTAGGAACCGTGTCTTAACGATCAGTCCCCTTTGGGACAATAATATTCTGAAAACTTTTGAATCGTAAGGCATATATTTTTTTTTTGTATCATTTTAAAGTATCTAATTCCACATGGAAAATACAAATTTGAGCGAAATTGGTTGAATAGTGCATTAGTTCCTGAGAAATCGAGTTTTATAAGTACGACTTTTTTAAAATTTAATTTCTCAGGATTAATCGATTTCGCTGAAATTTTGCATTTTGTCATGTTTAAAACTTACAATGTTTTGTAATCCAATTTATATGTGAACAAATAACTTGTTTTCATAAATATATTCACTAACATAATACATAAATAGCTAAAATGACAGTTAGAGATGGAGTACTGAAAGTTTTTGAAAGGGCCCCCGCCAAAAATGTTTGCCCCAGGGCCCCGAGGAGTGAAGTTACGGCACTGCAGGAGAGCAAATAATTCCTGAGAAATCTAATTTCAAATATACGACTTTTTTAAAATTTGATTTCTCTGAAACTGTTGGACTGATTTCGCTCAAACTTTGTATTTTTTCTCATAAAATTACATTCTTTAAAATTATGTAAAAATTTGTTTACCTTAGAATTCGAAATGATTTCGACTATTATTAAATAATAAATAAATATTTAAAAAATATTTTTTGCAAAGAATCATCATTGGATAAACAAACTTTATAAATATATGCAAAAATTTTTCGATTCGCTTAAAAAATTCTCGAGATATGACGAAGTACGCAAAAAGTAAAATTAACATGAAGGGGTGCAAAATTCGGACTGCCCTTCAGTCCGAACTATAGGGACCATATTTCCCATGAGTATGTGGCTAAACCATATATTTGGAGGGTTGGAAATCCAATTTCGTCGAAAAAAAGGCATGCTTATTAAGGAAAAAAAAACAATTTTGTATTTGATTTCTATCTTAAAATATCGTCTGTACTAATTAATCAGCTCATTGTTAATTAATTAGTTTTTCAAGCACTGTACATCTGTTATATTCCCGTATTTCACCTCATACTGTGTGGTTAATTTTACAGTTTTTTTCATAATACCGAAACAGTTGCCTATTTCTTTTAACTTTCCGCTTTTGCATTTCTTGACTTATGTTAGTGAAACTTTTCACAATTATTTTCGCTATCTCTCTTTTTCATAGTAAACTTGATGAGGAAAATTAAGTACTAAAAGATCGAAAGAGCTAAATCCAAAGAGCATCAAATCCAAAGAGCTGAATTACGTCTTATGTTCCGTAACAAGACTCCTGAAATTTGAATAATTTTATTTTACAAAATAAAACTGCAAAAAAAAAGTAACTGTAATTAGTTTAGTAGTATGACATGCCTACCTTAATAACTACATAAAAATCATCACAAAATCTAATAAGAAATAAAAAAATTATTGTGAAACTATATAATTTTCATAGAGCTATAAAATTCTCATACGTAGATCGACCGCGAAGTGGGCGTAAATTGTTCTATTCCAAATATAAATTTTTCTGCTACATACCTTGCGCAAACAGACTGCTCATTACCGTAAAAATACGACTTTTTTAAAATTCGATTTCTCAGAAGCTATTCGACTGATTTCGTTCAAATTTTGTTTTTCGCCGTGTAAAATTACATTGTTTAAAGTGTTCTAAAAACTTAAATACCTTGCAGCTCAAATTTCTTTTTACTATTGTTAAATAAAATAACAAAATTAATAAATATTTACTAGAAGTTATTTTTTGCAGTGATTTATTTTTAGATAAACGAGCTTCATGATGTTGTGAAAGAAATTTTCAATTCGCTTAAAAATTTCTTTAGATATGATTAAGCACGCAAAAAGTAAAATAGACATTAAAGGGCCCAAACTTTGGATCGCTCTGTCAACCAAACTATGGGGACCATATTTCCCAGATTTTCAGCTATCCCCTATATTTTTGGATGTCAGAAATCCGAATCCATTATAATGAAGGCATGTTTATTCAGAGAAAGTACATTTTTGAGTCTGATTTCATAATTCCAAATATCATCAGATTAGAATATTTGAGGTTACATCCTCGAACCATTATGATTGAATCCTAGAAAGTGAAGATTCGATCACGAAATCAGAAGTTATTCAAGATGGTGCATTTTTTTTTCTTGCACTTAACATCACAATTTTCAATATAGTGCGGCTTTGAGGAGAACTCCCCCAGACTAAAAGTCTGGGCTGTCTGCTGCTATGGTAACAAGCGAGAGCACATTTCCAAAAGGCGAAATGGAGAAATGAAGGTGTCGATTGGTTTACTCAAGCTGACCTATGCGAAGATCAAGACAAAACATTTCACCCCACACCCCTATTCGAAGTGACTTTCCCAAGTAACCATGATACCCGCCACGACGCGAGACTGACTACTGGAGGAGTTCTCCTGAAAGCTGCACTATACTTTCTGCTTTGGACCCATTAAGCATTATTTTTTTTAATTATTGTTGTTGTTAATTTACGTCGCACTATAGCTGCACACCAGAGCTGGGCTATTGGCGACGGTCTGGGAAGCATCCCGGAGGATGATCCGAAGACATGCCATCACAATTTTGATCCTCTGTGGAGGGGATGGCACTCCCCTTTCGGTAGCCCGACGACCTGCGCGCGAAGTCGAGCACTTTACGGTAGCACAGTTTAACGAGGACCAATACCGCACACCCTCGGTTCTTACGCAGACTGATTCAAGTGGTCACCCACCCGCACACTGACGGCAGCCAGTGATGCTTGACTTCGCTGATCTGCTGGTAACCGTGTCTTAACGATCAGTCCACTGCGGGACATTTTTTTTTAATTAAAAACATTTAGAAGTACAGAAACATGTAAAAATTCTAGCATAATATATTTTTGATCAAAACAATTTATGCACGTTTTCAATGGATTACAAGTATTAACAGATTAATAGTGTACTTTACCTTAGGTTGGTTTATTGCGTTCTGATCAAAAACATTAGCGTTTCCCTTCTCATATTTCGCAAGATTAAAAGTGTCCCCCAAGAACATACCAGTGAGTACAGTAATAATAACAGCAGACATGACTACTTTCCTTAAAAAAGAAAATGTATCCTTATAATGAATATAGAATACGATTATTAAATCAATTAGCTACTTTTGGTTTAAGATGAAACTTTTAAACTTATTGTAACAATATTATTATTATAGATTTATAAACATTTGACATTTATTACAATCTACCTAGATCAAGTATTGGGAGAAATTTGATGCAACTGCAATTTTTTGATGCAGCTAATCCACATTTGGCTTATATGGAAAGGAAAACCACCGAAACCTCCCACTGTTAGCCTGTCTTGCTTTTAAAACGTATTTCTATAAAACTTAAAATTAAAATCAACGGTATTTTATTTCATAACCGACGTTGAACAGCAGACCCAATTCAAGGTTTGCGACTAATAATGCTCAACTCCGTAGCCTTGTAATTTTGTACCCAACTCAGACGACAAGGGAACTCCTTCATCAAGTATTATGACAAACTAGTTTTCGTGAAGGACTTTTTGATGGAACTAATCCGCATGGAACTCCAATGGAACTAATTCGTATCAACCAGCCACCTCTGAGATTCGAACCCAGGTCACCTCATTGGGAGGTGAACGCTCTATTCCCTGAGCCACCACGGCTCAATAAACGGTATTTCAAATAAAAATAATAATAAGATGCGTACTGAAAAGCAAAATTAATGGAGAAATAGTACTGAGTCGTTTAAGAAATTGGTAAAAAATCGCCATACTATTATTGAACTTTGTGAGTCTTGATTTTTTCGCTACAAAAGAAAATCTAACTCAAAGTTGAACACCCAAAAACAGCGGCGTCGGTTACGATTTTTTAATATAGAGGGAAAAGGAGAAACATTATTTATTAAGTAATCAAATACTAAGCACGTGATTAACATTTTGTGATTAATTTTTTATTAATCTTTTCTCGCATGACGTTGTTCTGAGATATACAACATTAAAAGATTTTCCAACATTTTTTTGTCTTGTTTTTTGGTTCAATATGTTTTTCTTTTCCAACATAGCAGAGCTACTTTACTGTTAACTACCATTTTCAACTTAGTTTTTGGGCTCATTTACTTGTAAACAAACTTTTATTTGAGCAAGTTTAAGCTTTTCCTATAGAGATTAGTTAGAAACATAAGCAAAGGGTGTCTTTTCGTTATTTGTTTTATATTTTTGTAGCTTGGGAATTGTTTATCCATAATAAAATGGAATTGATTCATAAAATGGATTTCTTTTATTTATGAAAAATAGAATTGAATTATGGAATGGAAAATTACTGATATTATTTTTCATTCAAACAAATCTTTAAAAAAAAATTCAAAGGATAACGCAAACATGGAGGAAGAACTTTTCTATCTATTCCATGGAAATAATCGTTATTTGTTATATATTTTTGTAGCTTGGTAATTGTTTATCCATAATAAAATGGAATTGATTCATAAAATGGATTTCTTTTATTTATTAAAAATAGAATTCAATTATGGAATGGAAAATTTATGATATTATTCTTCATTCAAACAATTCTTTAAAAAAAAAAATTCAAAGGATTAAGCAGACATGGAGGAAGAACTTTTCTTTTTATTCCATGGAAATAATCAATTAAAAATTCGAAAACATGGGAACAANTTTTTTTAATTAAAAACATTTAGAAGTACAGAAACATGTAAAAATTCTAGCATAATATATTTTTGATCAAAACAATTTATGCACGTTTTCAATGGATTACAAGTATTAACAGATTAATAGTGTACTTTACCTTAGGTTGGTTTATTGCGTTCTGATCAAAAACATTAGCGTTTCCCTTCTCGTATTTCGCAAGATTAAAGGTGTCCCCTAAGAACATACCAGTGAGTACAGTAATAATAACAGCAGACATGACTACTTTCCTTAAAAGAAAATGTATCGTTATATGGAATATAGAATACGATTATTAAATCAATTAGCTACTTTTGGTTAAGATGAAACTATATTTTAAATTTATTGTAACAATATTATTATTATAGATTTATAAACAGTTGGCATTTATTACAATCTATCTAGATCAAGTATTGGGAGAAATTTGATACAACTGCAATTTTTTGATGCAATTAACCCGTATTTGGCTTACATGGAGAGGAAAACCACCAAAACCTCCCACTGTTAGCCTGACGGCAAAAAGGAAGGGATATTTTTCGTCTTGCTTTTAAAACGTATTTCTATAAAACTTAAAATCAACGGTATTTTATTTCATAACCGACGTTGAACAGCCGACCCAATTCTAAGTTTACGACTATCATTGCTCACCTCCGTAGCCTTGTAATTTTGTACCCAACCCAGACGACAAGGGAACTCCTTGATCAAGCATTATGACAAAATGACAAACCAGCTTTCGTGAGGGACTTTTTGATGGAACTAATCCGCATGGAACTCCGATGGAACTAATTCGTATCAACTAGCCACCTCTGAGATTCGAACCTAGGTCACCTCATTGGGAGATGAACGCTCTATTCCCTGAGCCACCACGGCTCAATGAACGGTATTTGAAATTTAAAAAAATAATAAGATACGTACTAAAAAGCAAAATTAATGGAGAAATAGTACTGAGTCGTTTAAGAAATTAGTAAAAAATCGCCATACTATTATTATTGAACTTCGTGAGTCTTTTGATTCTTTCGCTACAAAAGAAAATCTAACGCAACGTTGAACAACCAAAAACAGCTGCATCGGTTACGATTTTTTCATATAGAGGGAAAAGGAGAAACATTATTTATTAAGTAATCAAATACTAAGCACATAATTAATATTTTGCGATTAATTTTTTATTAATCTTTTCTCACATAATGTTGCTTCTGAGATATACAACATTAGAAGGTTTTTCAACATTTTTTTTCTTTTTTGGTTCAATATGTTTTTGTTTTTTTTTTTCAACATAGCAGTGCTACTTTACTGTTAACTACCTTTTTCAATTTAGTTTTTGGGCTTTTCAACTTGGTATAACCAAACAACTCAGTATACACAGTATAACCTTTTTCAACTTAGTATAAACAAACTTTTATTTCGAGCAAGTTTAAGCTTTTCCTATAGAGATTGGTTAGAAACATAAGCAAAGGGTATGTCTTTTCGTAATTTGTTTTATATTTTTGTAGCTTGTCAATTGTTTATCCATAATAAAATGGAATTGATTCATAAAATGGATTTCTTTTATTTATGAAAAATAGAATTGAATTATGGAATTGAAAATTAATCATATTATTTTTCATTCAAATAAATTACGCAAGCATAGAGGAAGAACTTTTTTTTTATTCTATGGAAATAATCAATTAAAAATTCGAAAACATGGGAACAAAAGCTAAAATAAATTAATATTAATCTTCATTCATTTACAAAACTTGATTTTTTATTTTTGATAATTGGACAACAATAATAATTTTTAAAATTAATAACCGAGTTTTGCGAAATTATTTACTTTTCTCTCATAAGTTAAAAAAAAAAATTGCAGGCATGAACTCAAGGCGAAAGTAAATAAATGATTAATTAATTGATACTGAAGAAAAAGAATATACAAAAACACATTTTAGAAAATTAACTGCAATTAAAGTTAATATTGAAAATGACTTACTTTTAAAAGCAGTCAAGAAATTTATAGGCTTTGATAGCCAAAGAAGCGCGAAGGGTTAGGAGACTTTTCTTAATCGTTTTTTAATATAATTTTTTTTTATCTTTATCTCTGGGAAAAAAGACATCAGTAAGTTATTTTATCCTTTTCGCTTTCACCTTATGCAGATAAAAATATTTTTAAAAAATTACTTTTCATTTGAAAAAGCATTTATCCTTCTTATCTATTTTTTTAAGGTTGGAAAAAATAAACTTTTATTTCTTGAAAATTCTGCTACACAGTCTGACCCAGTAACTGTAACTGTTAAAAGCGAAGGATATATCTGAAATTATTTTATTAGTATATATATATATATATATTTTAATTTAAAATTTTCGGCAATGGATCCCAGTAATCTTAGAGGCATTTCATTTGTTTACATTGTTCCAACAAAGAAAATCATTTTTTCTTTTGGAAAAAAGTAAAAATTAACATTATCTCAAAAAACTTTGATAAAATACAATTAAAATTTTTAAAAATAAATTAAATTACTGTAATTATTTTGATAACTGAATGCCATTTATTAGCCATGACTATATGTAAATTGTATAATGCGCACTGGAAAATATGTCTACTCTCTTTAGTACAATCCTCATTGTAACGACCTTTTCATTATAACTACACATATATAAAAATCCGTTTACTATTCTATCTGCACCAGGGCCGGATTACGCATTAGGCCAGACTAGGCCTTGGCCTGGGGCCCCCAATGATTAGAGGCCCCCTTGAAATGGATATTTTAAAAATAAATTCTAAAAAATTAAGAAAAACAATGATTTTTCAAATTTTTTCAAAATGTTACGATTATTTTTTAGTTTTAATTTCATAAAATAAAGTACAATTTCATTTATTATTATTTATTTTAAGTATGCTTTCTTAAATGAAAAGATATAAAAATACTTTTATATTTGAATTAAAAAAATGTGCGAGAAAAAAATTTAATCTAAGGGCCCCAAAAATTTGAATGGCCTAGGGCCCCACGTACGCTTAATCCGGCCCTAATCTGCACAATGTTATTTTAACAGCTATTCGAACGTCCGCACTAAGGATGGCGACAATCAGGATGAAAAATTAATAGTGGTTGAATAGATGTAGCTATGATATAAAATTATGGTTCTTGCTTATTTCACTTAAATTTTTTCACATTGTAATCTGTAATCTAAGTAAAGCTTCAAATTGAAATAAGTTTTGATGAATATTATCCAAAACATTATTATTCCACCAAAAAATAAATTGTTAACGAAATAATTGTTGCTGCTGTAGTTCATTTACATCGCACTAGAGCTGCGCAAAGGGCTATTGGCGACGGCCTGGGAAACATCCCTGAGGAAGATCCGAAGATATGCCATTACAATTTTGATCCTCTGCTGAGGGTATGGCACCCCCGCTTCGGTAGTCCAACGACCTGAACGCGAAGTCGAGTGCTTTACGGTAGAACAGTTTAACGAGAACCAATACCGCACACCCTCGGTCACTACGCAGACTAATCCAAGTGGTCACCCACCCGCACACTGACCGCAGCCAGTGATGCTTGACTTCGGTGATCGGCTGGGAACCATGTCTTAACTATCAGTCCACTGCGAGACCGAAATAATTGGCAACCACGTTTTTATTTTTAGCTCAGATTGTCGCAACTCAGGAACTGAACCGTTTATTTAAATATAAAAACCAAAATCTAGCTGTTTTTTAACACTAAAAGTGGCGCCTCCTCCTGCTCTCCTTTTTTATTTACATTTTTTTTTCAGTTTCCTAGTTTAAAATTCATTTGATGCCTTGATAGATCACGAAACGTAATTTTCTCCCAGTGTGTGAATGCGCTCCCAAACTTACTCGAGTGTGTGTCGGTCTGAATGTATCATAGTGTATACTGAAGTTTGAAGTTTTGTTCTTTTAACTTTAACCATGTCGTATTCCTAAGTAAATAAACAAAAGCCGGTATTTTTTTCACGAGTACCAACTTACATTTCAATATTTATTTAAGTAAAATAATAATAGTTGCATGATTAAAAAGTATGGATTCAGATATTATAAAAGCTTCCGCCGAAATAGTTAATCTCGTGAAAACAATATTGAATCCAGTAATTGATCATAACTCTCGTACAGCTGCTCATCGTGTAAATCTACTAATATTTGTTTATTATTAGAGTTTTAGGTGCTTTATGAAACTAGTTTAAATGTTTGTTTATTTCTTTTTAGATGCTTGATGATTTCAAGGATAATTCCCAATTATGTGCGAAGTGCGGATTTTTTCTATCAAATCACGAGGAACCTACCATACGTCATATTGGTCTCCAGCTGATTGACCATTATATAAAGTAAGTTTTAATAACTAAATTTGCTTATAACCACAAATTCATACATTGCGCTTATTATTTCTTAAAAAAGGAAATAATAGATAGTTAGGATAAAGGAAATAATAAATAGTTAATTTAGTTAGATAGCTATTTGAAGATGTTTGGTTCAGAATTTTTCTTTTTTATAATACAATTACTGGAATTAGCCAAACATGCTTTATGATAATATGCTGTCACTCATAAATACTTATGAACATCATCATAATAATGTTTTAAGTTTTTTTTCAATGATAATTAAGATTTATTATCAAGTCTTCAAATATTTTTCGAAATTTATATGAGCATGAGCATATTATCTTCGTTTTAGAAATTTCAATTCCTGTTGCTTTTGAAGTAAGTTTTGCCAATTTACTATTGTTACTCCTACATGGAATAGTGCTTATCACCACCTCTCTTTACAATTTACTGCAATGAATAATAATTTTGCATAGTTTTATTTAATTTATTAATTTTGCATAAGCATGTTTAATTTCAATATCAATTGTCTTGTATTTACGTCATCACCAAAATTCAAAGAAGTGAATTATACTATAAAACATTGTTTAATTTATTATTTTTTAAAATTTTGTTTAGATGAGGAGTTAAATCATTTTGGAAATATTTGATTATTCTGTCTTACTTAGCATTTTAATAATATGATGGTAATGGATAATATAAAGTAAATTATATATGTTATAATAGGGGTCTGTCCAGGGCAAATTTACTAATAGTGGTACCTTCACAAATTCATTGTTCGATCAAACGGTACTTTCACAAATTCTACTTTGAATCAAACGGTAGTTTCACAAAATACATTTTTTTTAAAGGCAAATTTTAAAATTTTCCTCCATGCCTTTTAAAACTTTGTAGTACAATTTTCTTTTTTTTTATGAGTTAAGTAGTAGTAAATGATTGCATGCAATAAAATTATGTTTGAATATATATTTCTTTTTTTCATTGCTAAAAATTTCCGTCTTTATTTATACTTAGCGATATTTAATTTTTACAACTGCTCAGTATTAACTGAGTACAACATCAAAACTTGTCTTAGTATGTTAATATTAAAAATCTGACTGAGATTTCAATATGCTAAATGTATGCTGAGTACTTGGTAAAATACTAAATAAAATAATATTGTGTACATGTAGTGTTGATTTTTTAATTTTCACAAGTTNCTTGTCTGAGTATGTTAATATTGTGGCGCTTTTGAATACTTGTGGCGTTTTTGAATAATTTTAAATAAAGGATAAATAGAAGTATTACTTTTAACTAGTAACATTTTATTATTTAAAAAATGATAATTTCCGTAGGGACTGGTAAAAGCAGTTAAAGCCTTATCGTTTTCACAAAGTTTTATTTGATGAAATGAAGCATTAGCGTCCAACGTATTAAAATAATTTGCTCCTCGTAATGAATTTAAAATGTCTGAAATAAGGGGTAATTTATAAGTAGAAGAAACAGTTATCTCGTTGAGTTTACGATAATCTACGACCAAACGATATTCACCTGCTGTTTTCTTTTTAACCAAAATGAGCGGAAATGAATACCGACTTTTTGATTTTTCTATAATTCCGGCATCTTCTAAATCAGATATTTGTTTACGAACATTTTCACGTAATGCAATTGGTACTGGAAATGGTCGACACTGAATGGGTGTGGAATTGGTGATTTCTATTGGAGGGGCTTCGAGAGTGCATTTACCGATTGTTTTCAATGTTATGCTAAAAATATCAGAAAATTCAAAAATTAAATTTTTTAATTTTTGTTTTGCGTATAAAGGAACACNATAAAAACTTCTATAAACTCTCAAATGATGTTGAAAAGTTAATTTTAAATAGTGCAACTCAAGCAACCATTGATCGGTTTTTTGCAAAAGTTTTGTAAATTTAATCTTATATAGGGTTTTACTTTATTAAAATAATTAAATTAGTTGAATAAAGCATTAATGTTGTCATTATTTCAGCTTTTGAAGTGTGTGCATTTAGAATATATTTTAAAAATGTGATTTTTTTTTTTTCAAATGCTGAATCACCTCTTAATAAAATCAGCCGCTTAATAAAATCAAAAGAGCATAAAACGAAAGTGATTTTAATAAACGGCGGGCACTGTATCTAAAAAATTTAATCTTTTGAATCTCCTTGATAGGCAGTTTTTTTGTTTGTTAATTTTAATGTTGCTCATAATTAACTAAAGTAATTTGATTCTTAGAAATATTTTTTTCAAATGTTTTTATGTATTTCAAATTTTACTAATTCATGCCACTATTTTTAAGTACGGCCTTGTTTTTTTTAAAGGATTCTACAAGCATCACAGGAGAAAAGATTTTTGTTAAAGATGCTTGGAGCAGAATCATTGTGGAAATAATCAAGCGAGAATGGCCCCAACAGTGGCCTGCTCTTTTAGATGAACTTGATCAACTATGTAAATTAGGAGTATGTATAGTTTTGCTCAACTGTTTTACTTTGTAACTTGTTAGTGTTCTAAAATTAGGATAAAAATTTTATATTTTTTAAAATATCATTCCTTTTTATCTTTTATTAGGTATAAATTTTTGTGATTTTTTGTTTTTTTTGTATGAATTTAAAACTTTAGGTATTGACTACATTTATTATCAAATTTTCCTGTTCGTTTAATTGCTTGTAAATGTGTAAAATTTATTGATTATAGTAAACATCAATGTATATGAAGTGAAAACGGTGGAACTTGCTCATAACGAGCACAAAGGGATGCAATATTTTTTCATTATAACCATGTGCTTGTAAAAAGTTGGGTCTGGGAAAAAATTGCGTAAGCTTATACAGAAATAAAATAAAAAATAAAGTACTCTATTTACAATTTGGTATAAATTGTAAATAAAATATTTTAATAATTTTTTTTATTTCTGTAGAGTACAAAGGCTGAACTGTCTTATCATCACTTTCTTTGTCATTGTTCTGTGAATAAGACTTATTACCGCAAAGACGTCATTTGCACTCCTGCTTAGAACACATTTGAAACAGAATCAATTTTGTCGCAAACAGAAAACTTAGTTTGCAAAGCGAGCCATATAAATTTGAACGATTTTCATTAGGATTTGGCAATCATCAGAGTGGGGGGGATTATATTAGTGGTGAAACTCATTGGTTTATTAATAAATAATTTTCTCATTAAACTCTGTATCTGGTTTAATTTGGGTTCATTGTGAACAAGTTCATTTGTGCATAATTAAAATGTTATATTCCAGATACATTATTTTAAGCGACCAGGATTTGTTGGTTCTTCTAAAAATATATGTGTCTATACATATATAAGGTATGTTATCGTATATAACTTAATGTTTTTAAGGGTATATTAAAATTAGAAAAGTAAATTTAAGGTATGACTTTATTATATAAATTTTAAGGATATTTTTTGGCTAATTCAGATACCTGGAGCAGCTTTTATAATAATTAAAATATTTACTAAATATTAATTTCAGAATAATATCTTTAAAAAAAATTTTTAATCATCAAACATCAACAGTTTCCATGGCCTATAAATAATATTAATTTAATCAATATATTTTTTATATTGATTAATTTATAAATTAATTTATTTATTATATTAATTGCTAATTTATATATTTAATTTATATCCTCTTATGAATTTAATTTTCTTTTTTTTTTCACTTATTTATATTTCTATCTACAGGATAAACAGACTGAGCTTGTTTTACTAGTATTTCTGAGATTGATTGAAGACACTGTACACTTGCAAAATTTTGCGGATAAAAGACGTAAGGATATCCGAAAAGCAATATGTTCTGAAGTGAATAAGCTACTAAAATTTTTTTGGAGCACTTTTGTTGATAATTATGACAAGTTTTTGATTCAGGTAGTCCTTATAACTGTATTTTTTTTTATTCGATTGCTTTCTTTATAGGCTATCTTATTTTATTGAACCTTCCTAACATGTTCTAAAAAGGAAGGAAATCAATTTAACTCAACTGCCAAAGACAATTTAAGACAGAACATGCAGGGTTACAATTCTGACAAATGTTTTGTTGTAGTTTAAATGTAAACAGTTGTTAGCATACTATACTTATTTTATTAAGGAAATTATTTTTTCTGAAATACTGAATATCTTTTGTTTATTTATTTTTTTATTCTCTGTTCTAATAAATGTATAATATAGCTGATTATGTAACTCTTAATTTCTTATTCAATCAAATATTTTTTTTGCAAGTTTTGTCTATTTAAAACAAACAATTAGCAAATGGATTGATACCTGAAAAAGTTTGATACAAATCTATCTGTTTTTCATTATTATAAGTGTACAATATTATTATAGGAGTGTTAGAGTTTATGTTAAATACAACTCTAATGCCTGCAATTTACAGCCAAATATAATATGAAAACTCTATAATTTAAAAATATAGATATATTCAATAAACTATAGAAGTAATCCAAGACAAATGGCAATTGCCTATTACTGTAGCTTTAATGTAATTTTAGCAATAAAATAAAGTCAAATCACAGTGGTGCCGGATTAAAATGGCAAAAGCATTAGACGAAATAATCTATAATCAGAATATTTCTGAGAAAAATGCAAAACAAAAATTTATTCAGAAATGTAAAAATTAGATGATGAAATAAATTTTTTTTAAAAAATAATAGTGATGACTTTCAATTAAGAAAGATTTATAAATTTCTTAACTGAAGGACATTGTTTTCATTTTATAGAGGAGAAAAATGTTAACAACTATTTTAAAATTTTCACTATGCAAGTAAACATTTTACAGTTTGCAAGATCACAAGTACAAATATCAGAAATATGTATGTATTTTAAATATGTAATTTGTTTCTGTTAAAAATATGTAATTTGTTACTATTATAAATATGTAATTTGTTACTATTATAAATATGTAATTTGTTTCTATTATAAATATTTAAATTGTTGTACTCTGCCTTTAAATTTTCAAAATGGATTTTTATTTGAAATTTTAAAAAAGAAAAATATTTTTTTTTTGCATCTTATTTAATTAAAAGAAATTAAAGAAAAATACAATTTTATGATTTCTCGAAGGTTAATCTTTCGTACAACCACAATCAATTTAGAAGATAATTTTACTACAATTTTAAATTCTTGTTAAATTCATTAAAAAATATAATCATGTTTACTGTAAATAAAATTTTATCTTATTTGTTCATAAGAAAAAAATGGGCATCTACATTACCTTTTTAATATGGTTGGGTACGCTTATTAAATGTCATTTTATTTTTACTAGTTTTTTTCCCATTCTAGAAATTAAAAATCAAAATTTTGCTTTATTTTCATTCTTATCAATATCTATATCGATCGTTCTTTATCAATTTTCTGCTTGATTAGTGTGTATTGTACCTAGTAGATATCTCTTTGTAGTACTATATTATTCTATGTATAAGTTGAACTGTTTATAAAGTATTGTTTTTATTTCTTCTAGAAACGTATGGATCCAAATTCAGATCAAGTAAGCAATTTCTTTATTTAATTCAGTTCTTTAAAAAAAAAATTGTAATTATAATTATTAATTTTGATACATACTTTTTTTATGATTATGTTATATTTGATAATTACGTTATATATGATTATTATATATAGTATGTTATATTATATTACATCATGTTATATTTGGAAGCTTTGTATTTCCTGCTTTTAAACTACAATATACATAGTTTCTTTTTTCAGCTTAAGCCTTATATCTTAATTTTATTACTGCTTGAATTATTTTTCACAAACTTTACCTGTTTTTAATATTTGTCTTATCGAAAAAGGACTTATGATGTGAAAAAAAATTAGCTCTGATAAATGATAAAATGTTATACTTTTGTTTTTATGTTCCATTACTTGATGCAGGGACAAAATTTTATATTTTCTCGAAAAATGTCAAACACTTTTAATTTATTTTTTTTATTATATTGTCTGTAAATATAAATATTAATATTTTATCATTATTATCTTACTGATTTAATTATGAAGAAAGACTAATATGTTTATTTATGAAAAATTAAAATATCTATATACTGTTAATGTCTGTGATATCACTAACAAGATAATTTTGTCAATATAATTGTTTTGCAAACAGCATGAAGTCAATTTTTATTTGTATTTTCTGCCAAACTTTTTTTTTATTAAATTTTCAGATTTTTAAATTTGCAGTGCTTTTTGAATTTTCTGTATGTTTAATTTGCATTTTGGGGTTGTCATAAGTACGCTATTAAATAACTTACTTATCCAAAAGTGTAATTATTGTTCAGCGAAAGTGAAGTATTTATGAAGTGTTAGTCCCTGTAATAGAACTGTGGAGATGTCACAAATTTGAAAGAAAGTACAAATCGACTTTCATTTTTATTTAGCTTTTTGTTTAAAATATATGATTTTCTTTTCTGAAATTGTACTTACAGTTCCAAGACTATTTGGTGCGCTAAAGAAACAAGTATGATATACAAACTTAGATTGAAAGTTCAGATCTTAGATGTGAAAAAAATTTGTGACATCTCCACAGTTCACGCAAGCACAGTTCCTTTTTATCATTTTTCCACAGTTTAAAATTAAATAATTATAACTTCAAGTTTTATGAAGTTCTTGTTTTTAATAAAAGCTGAATTTGTAACCTATAACAGCTTCTTATTTAAATCTGTTCCAAAACGTAGTACTGCATTTTGCTACAAAATTTCTTTTTTATTCTCCAAAGCTCTCCCAAAGCATGTTTTGCCACTTGCACCACTGAAAAAAAAAATTATTAAAAAGAATTAATAGCTTAATTACTTACTGAAGTCCATTTATAGTTGCTACTATTCATATAATTAAAATTTGTATATGTTTATTGTAATATAACCATTATTAACATGAAGTTTTTGCTGCTGCATTACATTGCCGATCATATTATAGACCTTTTTTTCCCAACCTTAGGTTTGTCACCTTTTGGGAGCTCACGGAAATATGATTATAACTTCAGAGTTTTAAATTATTAATGTTTGAAATATAATAATTTGTAGGACAATAAAGAAAAATTATATGTAGGACTAAATAAGAGGATCAGTTATAATATTTTTAAACGTACTGCCCCTAAACCATTAGAAAAAGTATTCTCAATTGCATTATTATAATTTTTGAACAATAAAATTTTTCCAAATGAAAGTTTTATTAATTAAAGTTAGCATTTACTTCTTTCAAACTTAGGACATCTCTTCTGTGTTAAAATATAATAATTACTTCTTCATTTCTAAGCAGTAACAACACTCTTTGCAGAAAATATAAATTTGAATTAAATTGATCATCTCGGAAAAATGATTGCGTTTGTGATTTGAGCTGTTAATACCACCCCTAATAATCGTCTAAGCATGTATGTGTCTAAGTATTCCTTCACATTATAGTTGTACTTGCAAAAGAAATTTTTTATCTTGTGTCTCTCTCCCATTTATGTTTTTTTTCTCTCTTTTTTTTTAGAGTCTTTCAAATTTCAGACTTTCGAGTCTTGCTCTCGACACTTTTACTCAATTCACTGATATATTTCCGATTGACGTATTTATCCAAGAAATAGGATTCTATGAGCTGTGTATCTTGTTTGCAGATCCTGATTTTCAAAATAAAGCTGCCTTATGTTTATTAAATATTGTGGAAACTCAGGTAAAAGTGAAAGGCTTTTAAATATTATTTAAAAAAATATTATCTAATGTGATTTAATTATTTTATGGTATCATTATTATTTTAACTAATTTGCGTTTTTAAGATATAGCTTCATTTCTTAATTTTTTGCTATATTGTTGCTTGTTTTCTCAATTAAGATAAACATAAATCGGTTAAATTACACTGTATAGATTAGTTTGCATTCTTAATGACATGTTAGGTTCAAACTTCCTGTCAACTGGAATTCTAGTTTTATAGTTTTTATTTGTCCTCTTTTTTTTCCAATTAGTTATCTGGTTTATATCAAGGAACTAGAAATGCATAGTAAGGGAGTCTAATTAAAATGAGTCTCCTTTACAGTTTTACCAGTAAAGAACTAAAGTTTGAAGTTATTTCAGAAAGAACTGCATGTTTAATGCAACCTCTTGATTTTTCTTTCTTTCTAATTTCAAGCAGTTCTTTGGTTTAATTCAAGGAACTGAAAATGCATAGTAAGGGAGTTCCATTAAAATAACTTCTTTCTACAATTTTATTGGTAAAGAATTAAATAATCTCTAAGAGTACTACAGGTTTTAAACAATTGTTAGATGTGTACTTCATTTAGCAAGTAAAATTTTTATCTATGAAGAAATTAAACTATGTCATTTAACAACAGCAGATACAAAAACGTAATTTGTTACTAAATTTATTTTGTTTGCATTGTTTAAATTTATTTTGTTAAACATTTTTCTTCAGAATTGCTCAGAGGAAGAAATGTGTATAAATTAGGATCAACATAATTTTAAAATGCTTTTTAAAAAATTTTTTTGATTTTAAACAGATACATGCTACAGATATTTTAGCAAAAAATTTAGAATGTGTGCTGATTGTCGCAATTACTCTTTATGTATTATGAAGTAGATAGTTTTCATTATCACTAGCAAACATTGTATTGCCTGCTTCAAAAAATCAAAAATACAAAAGTTTAAAAAGTAATAAATAAACTAATAAAAAATGCTGTAAATTGAGGGTCAAGTTCAAAATAGGGAGCAACAAAAATACCTCGACCAATGATTTTAAGCTGGTGACCTCTTGTAAGAAAATATATGCTTTTTCGTTATGCCACCTGAACATTGTGATCACTGTAATTATTTTCTTTTTTTGTTACGCAGTATAAAAACACTTTTCTGAAATAACATAGGAATCATTCAAGTGACCGCGCAATAAAAAATATTTTTGAATGCAACAACTGAATACCTAAAAAGTAAACATTTTATTTTTGTAACAAGATTTAATGATGTTACATTTAAGGCCATATCTCCGTCAGATGGTCTTGTACATTATTAGACCTGCATGCTTTGATAAAGAACAATTCAACTTCTTTCAGTTAATTACATAGTGAAACAATGTTTGGGAGTGAGTCATATTATTATTAAAGTCTTGCATGAGAATGTGGATCACACTATTATTGCAAATTAATATAAATTTTAATTCTGCTTCACATTTCTTTTTAAATAATGTTACAAAGGAAATGATTTTTTTTTTTTTTTTTTTTGTGAATAAAGTGGTTTTATTTTAACATGCATTTTATTTCCTTTTATGATATTTATTTTTCTAGGCATGTTGGAAAAAGTTTCTTGGTTAATATGTTTAAAATTTTTTACCAATTCAGCACTATGCTGAATTAGTGCTAAATTTTTTAAACCTTTTTCCAATACTATCATGAATTAAAATAACATGATTTTCAATTCAGATTGTTTATTTTTTCTTTTTCTGTCATTTTAACATTGTTGTCATGTTATCAAAATTCTCAAATTGTGACTTATTTTATACTCTAGATGACTCCAAATGATAAGCAAGAATTGCAAGCTATATTTGATGTAGATATTTTTTTTCAATCAACTGCAACTTTTTTGACTTGGTATGGAAATTAAAGCTTTTAAAATATTTAGACATTTTTATATTTATTTTAATCTTTCATTAAATATGTACAGGGTAATTATATTTCTCTTTTATTACCCTAAGGAGCATTTATTCAGCTATAATTTTTGCTAATTTTAAATGTTCATCTTTTTCATAAATTTTTGAGATTTGATTTCACTCTTCAATTTTAATTTGTTTATTTTCTAGTGCATATGACCCACTGCAAGAACAAAAGCACAATTTTCTTAAACTTCTTAGTAAAATCTTCCTCAGTTTAATACAAGTTCTGATTTACTTCAAAGTAAGTACATATATATATTATTAACTTATGAATTATATCAAATAAATTTTAATTTATTTTTAAACTCTCTTGTAACCTTTTTCTTTTTTTTTCTTTTTTTTCAGCTGCAGTTTTACTCTTTCTGTTATGGTATATTTCTGTTATTGGGGGGTTCGGTGATTTCAAAATTCAATTAATGAAAGGAAAAATGAATGTTACATTACATTCCCCTATGGCAGCTAGAAATTTACTGCCATCGAGTTTCAAAATCAAATATGAAGTTTGTCAGCAGCTGGCATTACTGACTGGATAAATTATAAAATGTTTTATTCTGAATTCCAAGTGATGTATTATATTTTTCCAGTTGCTGCAATTTCACCCACAGTTAGCAACACCATCTGCTAATGATTAATGTAACTAATATTGATACTCAGTGTAAATAAAATCATGGTTTTCTAAGCTGAATGCAGCAAACTGTACATTTTTGTCTTATTCTGCCTTTTTTTAATTTGTTTTTTGAATGATCAGACATTTTTGGAACATCCAGTATAGGTGATCACATTGCTCAAATACACCATCTGGGAAGAAGACCGGTTCCATGTCTTTAGCCCGTCTCCCTTCCCTCTCCTTCTCTTTTCAGTTGTATAGGAATGTACTACAATATTTTTCCTTTTCTTTTTTTCGTATTTAATTGTTAAAAATCTTTTTTCATTGATCACCGCTTGCTGTGCAAGGGACTAGATAGGAACTCCCTGAAAAGTGGGAATGTCACTGAATTGTATGGGGACGCAAGAACTCTCATGAAATGTCACTAACTTTACCTTTTTCATGTTAGTGTTTAAAATTTTATATTGTTGAAATGTATATTGATTCAAATGTTTGTTTGTTTTTTGTTCACTTTAACTAAATTATTGAATTGTTTCTTTGTTATTTTTCTGCTCCTTTGTGATGCAGTGAGCTGTCAAATTTTCTGGATTGAATTCCTAATAAAGCCATATGAAACACATCTTTTTTAAAATTTCCATGATGCTTTCTTTTAGAACTATGTTTAATGTAGTTTTCAGTTCCATATAGTTTTATAACTTACAATATTTTAATCTATTTGAAAATCAAGAGAAAAACTATCATACTTTCTTCTTCTGTGACTCTCCACTAAAGGTGAAAACATGGAAAGTGTTGCCATAGGTAGAGAGTTTTGCTCTATTCCACCTGTAACCCATTTCGTTCACTAATTTCTATTTGTAGTCAAATAGTTTTTAAAATATTATGTGTTGCTTTAATTTGAAAGTTGTATGGTTAAATTTATTTTGACCAAATACTTATGTCTTAACAAATAATAATAGAGATGCAATGCATTGTGCTTTATTCTGTCTGTGCTTTTATTCTATGTTCCAAAACATTGTTAAAGAACTATTTAAAAATAAATGCATCTAAATTGTTCAGTTCATACATTTTTATATTATTATTATTTTTATTATTTTGAAATCAAGATGAAATAAATCTATAATAAATTTATTAAAATAAATGTTAATATATATGATTTTGTCATGTTTGTATTTAATTGTATAAATTTTGAACTTTTTTATGTTCATTTTTTTAAAGCAAAAGGAATTGCCAGTTCAGCCTTGGAATCATAAGAATTTTGGAGCTCTAGTTAACTGTGCGTTATTGTTCAGTAAACATTCAAGCATTGTAAGTTTATATTACAATTATGATTAATGACTGTATAAAAATTAAATTGATTAACCTCAACATTAGAAATTAAACAAAATTGTCTGCTAATTTTTTTTATAACTTTTAAAATTTGCAATCATGCAATTTGCATGTCTCTTGTTATGTATTTCTGCTAGTAAATCAATAATAACTGTGTTGTATAAAAATATAATCAAAAGTATAAAAATATTATTTTATCTATATAAAATAAAGTTGATTTAAATTTTTTTTAAATTTATTTATTGGGTTTTTATAATTTTAAAAACCTTGAAATATATTCATTAAATTAGTTTATTTTTGAACAAAGGAGGCAATTGTGTTTAATATTCAATGTTATTTATTTATTGTTATCAATTCGTGTTGAATGTTATCAATAATTTTCATAATTTCTTCATTAGATTAGTTTGGATGGGCAGAATATGCTTTTCCACCTTCTACGGGACTCCTTTTTCTCAACTACATCAGCTGTAACTGAAATTATACCTTCTATTTTGAAAATGGGAATTGAAAAACTTTTAATGGTAATATTATGAAATTCCTTAACATATTTGGTATCTATTTCATTTCAGTGGTTGTAAAAACCTATTTTCACTGTACCTGTGTTAGTTACCTGTATTAGTATGTACAGTGGGCAAAAGAAAAAATATCACCCAGAATAACTTGTGCTCTTATAATTGGGTTTTCTAGAACCAAGTGATAAACTTAATAGTTCAAAAGAGTGACTTCAAACATGCGAATTAATTAATGTAGACAATGATAAGTCAAAGAAACATACACAAGAATGCTCTAATGGGTACAATCTGGAAAATATAATCCCAATAGTTCAGTCATCAGAATGGTTGAAAATTTTGACCATTTTCAGGCTAAGTTTACTTTTTGTGTACTTCACTTTATGAGAAAAATTTTTAATGAATCAAAAAATGTTTGCACACAATTGTAAAATTCGTTTATCTAATAATGATTCCTTGTAAAAAATTATTTTTAATTACCATTTATATTTTTTTATTATTATATTTAAAAACATTAAAAAAAATTTGAATTGTAAAGTATACAAATTTTTACTCTATTTAAAGTTATTTAATTTTAAATGACAAAACAATAAATTGAGAGAGGAAAAAAATCTTGATCAAATAGTCTTTGAGTAGTAAAATTTATAAACAGTTGTATTAAAATTCCATTCCTCAAGAACTATTTAATTTATTTTAAATTTTGTATTTTGTCATGAAAAACTACATAGTTTAGAAAGTAGAGGTAAAAATTTGTATATCTGACAATTTGAATATTTTCAAGTTTTTTAAATTTTGAATATTATTATTAACGTGCAAAAAATATTCAATTTTTATAAATAAATTGTGTTTTTCTCCATTACATTTTTTTCTTTTATTCAATATTTTTGCCTTTTTGTATTTTAATGGTGCCACTTTCAGCATACAAGGCACGCCAAGTACGACAAGGCCTCTATCCCATTTTCCGAATTTTATTTTTCAATGTCCATTGTGAGTACACCATATGATTTTCACTACAATCAAACAACTTGAATCATCAGTTCCTTTTTGCACCAGTGATAGAATCTCAGCCATAACAAATATAATGTGCTTATTGCTGCTTATGCATATCAAGGTGCATTAAACTCAGACTTCTTTGGAAGGTGTACCATTTATATTAAAATGTGTCGAATTCAATTAATCCTTGCTAATTATAACAATCTGTGTGGTGGAAACAAAGATGGACATTTTAGCATGAGGGTACTAAATTGATATTTTAAATGACAAAATTAGGCTGTGTTAAAACAAAGAAATTTGTAAAAGAACCAGCTAAATAATTGCATGACTTTTTTCATGCTATTTATTATTTTTTCATGCTATTTTGTAAAGATGTTATTAGTTATGAAGGAGGGTTAAAAAAACTTTTGATCAAGAATTGAATGTGCAATTTTATTTGTTGTTCAGTATTAACGTTTTTCAACTAATTAAAGATAATTAAATTAGGATCTATCAATTACAGAAAAAGAAAGTATGCAATTTTCAGGCAAAAATAAAAATATAAAAGTAATTTAGAAATGTTATTAGGCGTATTGTTATGTCTTATATATTTATGATTTTATGCTGATGATGTCGTGTGCTTTTTAGAGTAATCGATACTGTAAATTTATTGTACATTACTGTATATATCGTATATTACTATATATATTGTATATTACTATATATATTGTACAGTACTGTATATATTGTATATTACTGTATATATCGTATATTACTGTATATATTGTATATTACTATATATATGTATATATATTTCTTGCATATAACTGTCAGGGAGGCTCTGTGTTGCCCTGATTTCAAAAATAGCAAGATGATATTGTACGAAACTGTTAGAAAAGAATTAAACAAGAATGTTTGCATCAAATCAGTTGCCATATTTTTAGTGTATTTAAATAAGGAGATTTACATTAAATTTACTAATTATCGTATTAAGTTTCATTCTATATGTTTAATTTTATATAATCAATGCTGCATCAAGTGAAATAACATTATATCAATGAAACAGAAATTTTTTTTTTTTAATCATTATAATGAAATGGCTCTTGAATTTGGAGGGGACACGATTTTAATAATTCATTTTAATTATTATGACTTTAAAACATTTATACACTGAAAATAAAGAAATGTATTTTTTTTCTAGGTTGATTATCTACCTAAAGCTGACTCTACATCATTAAAATTAGCTTTGGAAATTGAAGATGAGGATGACATTCATAATTTTAGTATTAGTAAGAAAATTCTATTGTTATTTCAGTTTTTAAATTTATAAATTTACTGCCCTGTGACATATGTTTTCCTTTTCCTATAGAATTCCGTCAATTTGTAAATGACATTACTAGAGAGATAACTAGATTGCAAACGGAAATTTCTTTCAATTTCGCAAAGACTTTGCTTCACCAGTTGTTATCTGAAGGAAATTGGATTTCATTTATTGATTCTAATGTTCTTGGTATGAAATTATGTATAATATAATTTTAATTTTCTGGAAAATTTACATTTTGTGCAAAATCTATTTGCTTATGTGTTTTAATTTAAATTATTTATATATGATTTATTTTCATTTAAAGTACTATTTAATATTTGATTTGTTTTGTTTGTTTTTTTTAATTTATTTATTTTCAGAGTTAATTAAAACTATTAGTTTTCTTTTTTGAAAAATATCATCTTTAATATTCAGTTGAGTAGTAAATAAAATGTTTTCTCATCAAGAAATGGTTATTCAGTACTTGGTTTCATTTATAAAAGCATTTTATTTGTTTATCTGAAATGTCTTTATTCACTAAATGTTATGCATAAATTAAAAAGAAGCATTTCTAATTGTTTAACGCTTTTCGATGTTTTATACAAAAAATAATAAAATTTTATGTTAATTAAATTTAAATGTTTATTTTCTTTTATAATTATCCTGATTTTTATCTACAACTGCAATTAAAATGATGTTTTAGATCTGAATATCATTTTTTAAATCTTTAACTCTATTTCTCATGATCATAAAACTGTTTGCTCAAGAGTTAATTTACACTTTATTGTGCACTGGATTATTTTTTACCTAATTTTGTGTGACAGTAATATATAGTTATTATTTATATTGAACATTATTACTTTGTGAATCATTTTAACTTTTTTTTTTATCTTTCACTAATATTTTAAATGTCAATGTTTATTAACTTTGAATATTTAATGTTGGCTAACTTGAGTGTATCATTTTATAATAATTTTAGCTGAAAGTCCTCATGCATGTTGGAAAGCACTTGTCTTTTATTTGGACTCTGTCTGTAGTGTTTTATCAAAATATCTTCATTCTGGTGACACAATTGTTTTGCCTGTAAGTTTTTTTTTTTTTCATTTTAATTTTAAAGAATTTTTTATATTGGGTCACAATGTCTGTTTAGACACCATTTAATTAAATGAGCTGCAATGGTTTAGTAGTTAAGGCACTGATATATCATTGGGAAAATTCCGAATTCAACCCTCAACTGTAACTTGAAGTCTATGCTGCTTCAGATTGATGTGTACCAGTTTGTCTGATAAGTAAAAATGAAATTTGAATAATATTTTAAGAAAAGGAAACAAATATTTATAATTTTCATTGCTATCAGTACGCTTATTTCAATGACTAAAACTGTGTGACTTTTAATTGTGTTAATATGAAGTTCTTCCATAAAAAATTCCATTTTTGTTTCACATTTATTAAGATAGTAAAATTAATACAACTATTGTAGGGATAAAATACTTTCAACTTATTGTATGAATATACTAGGTTCATTGATGTATATTTTTTGAGGGATATCAATATATTATATATCATATATGGATACATTATATTTTTAAACAAAATGTGTGCAAGTTAATTTTTAATTAAAAAAAAGGGGGGAAACCCTACATACTTGTGATACATTCTATCTTTGAAAGATACCCACAGAAAGAAATAAAAGTTTGATTAATCAGGTGAGGGATGACACCTAGCTGCGCCCACCCAGTTCTATTGAAATACACAGTAACATTACAGTAATCGGCTTCAGAGCACTGCTCAGCTGGATACAGGAAAGGACATTTCTAGTCGTGGGTTCCTATTCTATTTACAATCCTTATTATGTGCCTTATTTATCTCAATGTTTTTGAGTAGCCTAGTATTTAGTATTAACTGTACTATTTTTGCAAACCACCCTTTAAATCATAACCACTATTTGACAATTAAAATAAGTTCCATTCACTAGTAATGCCACATAAGTTACTTTTTATTCTATTTTCTTTGTTTGTTTGTTTTTTTAATATTTTTATGTTCTGACTGTGATTATGATTATGTACTTTTGTTTTTTTGTACTAATGAAAAGTTTATTGTTTGTAGAAAGTTTCTCTGGAGGGAGCCATACTTCTTCAAAAGCTTCTAGATTTCGATAGCAATGTAAGTTTTTTTTTTTTTTTTTTTTCTAAAATTTTGAAAATACTTGTAATATCAATCACATTTTTTAACATATCTTTGAATTTAAGCTTAATGGGAAAAAAATCAAATGTTAGTCAAGCATGTGTTTAATATAAATAAAATAATAGTAATCATTTACCGTGCTTAAATTTTGACGAATGAGTAGAAATAACCCTGAAATGTGTTTAAAAATAAATATTAAAAGTTTTCAATTTTTACATATTTTTTACTTGCCCTGAGCATGTCAAACTAACCCATCTACAAACAAGACATAATCCATTAATTCATCTTCATTTGTTGTTTGGGGAACCTCCTCTCTGATACAACATTTGCTACATTTCACATTTTAATCATTGCCTATGTTTCAATCAACTTAGTCTTGCCTTTTCTAGTAACTCTATTTTATTTATACAAGATTTATTAGATGAAACCAATCATGGTAACGTCTTAGCATTTCTATGCAATAATGCTCTACACAATTGTATATGACTATTTTAATGGACTTACTTTTTTTTTATAAGATTTTATTCAATTTTAATTATGTATTATAGCAACGTATATTTGAAATAGTACTTTTATATTTTCAATTTCAGGATCCAGTTATTGTTTCATATGCATTATCTTGTATATCCTGTTTATTTATCTTCACTGCATCTTCCGAGCCTGATCTTTGCATTAAAATCTTGGAAAAGGTAAACAATGTTGTTTATGTAATGATAAATAATAAGTGAGTTTTTTTTTTTTTTTAATAATTTGTTTATATAGGGCTCTGTTTTAAATATTATTTCCCCGGTTTTTGACATATCACAAAGTTCCTCAACATTGATTCTTTTAATGCTTTCTTTGTTAAGTATTATTGTAGCTGGCAAAAAAAAATAGAAATTTTCAAGATTTTTTTTTTCTACAAGAATAAGTTACAGTGTTAAAATTTAAAAATCTTAAATAAGTTTAGGAGATCAATTTTACGGTAGTTTTTTAAATAAGTTTATGAGATCAAATCAATTTTAGAAGTATTACGAATAGTAGTGCTATAAAGGTTTACCCTGAAAATTACCTTTAAGTAATTATGACAATAATTCGTGATTTGCAACGCACTTATACCTTTTTAGTTGCCATTAATGTTCACTCAAATTGAAAAAGATTTGTACTTTTATCATTTCAAATGCATTGATAGTGAAAAGCAATTTTTTAATGAAGACAAAATCTACATTGATAAATATTTAATTAGATGTAAAGTGAACAAAATTTTTATTAAATTTAATTAAAGGATTAATTTTTAGCACTGTTACAAAAATTTTGTTTCCAACAAAATTTGAAATAATTGTAAAACCTTATTAAGCTACATATAGCTGATTAAAATATATGTTGTATCGTTTAAGCTAGACAGTTTCAATTTTTTTATCAGAAAAATATTTTTAAACATAAAGTTTATAAAAATCAATTAGGAATGTATTATAAATTATTTGCTTACATATTTAAATAAACTGTATTATTATGTCAGCTAAAAGAGAATATTTAACCTGAATGCACCTGTTACTGTAATTTAATTTTATATTGAAAATAATTATTTATAAGGAACATTATACACACATTATACACAATACATTACCATAGTTAATTTTAAAAGCTAAAATACAATTCTAATTATTGTCTAAATTTTATTATTTGTATATGTGTTAGTTGTAATAATAGAATAAATAATAATTAATTTAACTTTGACAGTAAGTAACTTGTTCAACAAAAAGTAAATGAAAGGAATAATGTAGTAGAATAAAATGATTTTTGCTTTGTGAATAACAATTTGTGCATTACAACATTTGCATTATTAGTTACACTTAAAAGATCCACATGATAGTTTATTCCACCCTGAAACACTCTGACATTACTGTGAGAATGTTTTTAATTGCTACAATTCTTGTCTGCACCAAACTGTAGCAAAAAAAGCTTGTATTCCTTATGTTTAGATGAACCTCAGGGATTTGAAGGAAGTAATGTGCAACTTCATAAAGAAAATTAAGCTTAACTTGTCATGGAGTTTTTTTTTTTTTTTCAATCTTTTCTGCAAGTGCATAAGAGCAATAATTTTTTCTTAATGTTTACCTTATATAATGATTGTAATTTTGTGGTTAATTCTGGCTCAATTGTTTTAAAATTTCATTCTATAAAATATTATCTCTTGACAATTTTTATTTTTGTTTGAATTTTTTAGATATATTCATAACCAAACAATTTATCTTTTTTTTTTTCCAAATTCCAGATATTTGGAAATTTTGCTTATTGTAATAATAATAATCTTACTGATGAACATGGTGAATACAAGGAATTGAGAAGACATTGTGCGTTTATACTTATTAAGTTAAGTAGTAATCATCCCAAATTATTGTTTGTGAGTATATTTTAAAATATTTTGTAAGCTTCAATAAAGAAATTGATAATTTTAAGTTAAAAATTATCACTTTATTTATTTAATTTTAGTTATTTTATTTGTCTATTTTAAGCTATGCATCTCTTTTTTTTTTACTATTTTGAAAATATTTATTAACAAGATTTGATGCATTTGATTTAAAAAATAATAGTGCACTTTATTCCAATGAGTATGTTGTCTCATTTGTCAAAGCTTGAGCTGCAATCTGTGACTTACTACGCATAGAATTAAGCAGACAGGAAATAGCAGAAGTAAACAAGCTTTGTTACAGGTTCGCTGCCTAGGGTAAATTAGTGGAAAACTGAGAACTAGAACTTGATAAAGAACATAGCTATATAATAGCCTCAAGTATGAAGAATATTTCATTGCACACAAGGCTTGGCTTTACATTAGATTCAGGATACACAGTTCATCGCAGGAGAGGCTACACAACTAAGACCAATTTATTATCACTTTTGTCACAGTTGTGAAATTGAGAGGTTATTGAAGAAATAAAATCCTGCTATCTAATTTACATATCATTGAAGTCAACCATTTAATGTTAATATTAACTATTAAAAATTACTTGGAAAAGAAAATATATGTTAATTATTTACTTATGACATTCATTCCGAAAGTTTTGTCCCCTTACAAATCGCAGCCGAACTATTGGAAGTTTTATAAACAAAACTCTTAAGAGTAATCAAAACCCTGAAGTTTGACAAGTAACATCAATCGATGGACGTTTTTTAATTTGTTGCTCTACGGAACATTACAAATCTGATAAATTTGTTCACAAATGTTAGGAATGTTAGTAATTTTGTATCAAAATTGGTTTCTGTGTTCTTTTATTGAAAATAACTGCTGTTTAAATATTTGAAATGTTTCACTTTTTTCCATAACATTAAATCACCATTTATTGTGTGTTACTAATTATAATATCTTATTTGTGTTACTTTGTTATAAAATGCAAACAATTGATTTAAAATTTCTTGATGATAATAAATGGGGTATGTTATACTAAGAAAGACATTTTCTGAGAAAGACTAAGATATTTTCTGCTACAGCCCTAATCTAAACTATAATCAATTATATTAAAATATAAAAACAAGCAACTTAAGTACATAACCTTATTTTTTCAAAAACTGTTGCCAAATTCAGAAAACTTCCTGAAAGCTTTTCACTAATAAACTTCTCCAGTATCTGAGGCCATATTAATGAAGTGAATATGAATTAAATTCTGTTCAATCTAATAACACAACATCCATTTATTCATTAAAGAGATTTGGGTTAAATCCCATGAACGTTTAATTAGAAATGTTTTAATCACTATCCCAAATTCAAGATTTTTTTATCACCATATGTTAAAACATATGATGACAACGGTTTCAGTCTTTTTGTGATGAATATCTTTGCATGCGTCTTAAATTCTGAAACATCACCATCTTTAATATTTATCCACTGCAAACTGTGGGGACAATATGGTAGTTTGAACACGCTATTTTACGAGTCAAAATATACTTGCCTGCTCTAAGTATTTGGTCACCGGTGAAAAGCTAGTGAGCAGAAATTTCGCAATTAGGTTTTCTTATTAAATTCTTCAGCTTTAAAGTATTCTACTTCAGATTTTAAATTAAGGTTCTTTTTAGAAAATAATTATATTTTTTTCAGCCTTATTTTGAGCATATATTCAAACAAATCTGTAACATTAATGGAAGCCAGTCTGGATTCCTTAGTATTCCTGATAAAGTTGCTTTCTGTGAAACCATTATGATTCTTAGGTAAGTTATTTTTGATAATGTAATCATATATTTAACAAGCAGATTTTCGCAGTAAAGTTACTTAGTTGTTGCCGGAAACTTTTTTTAATCTACTGTGACAAATTAATTCATTAATGTTGGAATTTCAATGTGTTATTTTATTTTTAATGCAAAGTTGTAATGAAATTGTGCATAGCTAATGTTATCTAATAAATATGCTTAAATATTTTATGGAATAGTACTTGATAAATATATGTTATGAGCAATCAGGTTTGCTCTCAGCAACTAAATTTATTATTTTAGAGAAAAAGTAACTATTTTTGCCAAAATGTAGACAAAAATTAGATTATTTACCATTTATATAAATAGGATGTTTAGTAAATATGAGTGTTCTCTGAGCCAGATTTGACTAATTAGATACCAACATTTTAAGAATTGTGTCAGGATTCTGATTCCACTCCCAGGCATCTGAATGACCTCTGACCTGAAGGTCAGCTGGTGTGAACACGGGAAATGTCGTTCCCTTATTTGTGTGGGAGGAAAAGGTTTTAAAAAAAGATAGACTCTCTTGTGAAAGGGTGAGACGATTATGGACATGATTCTGATAGAGTGTAGTTGAAGGCGAAGGGAGCAGTGGGACTCCAGAAATAGAAGCAGAACTGTGCTTTTATTTGATTCCGAAATTTGTATATTTGTAAATATTGAGCACAATAATCCAAAACCTAAAGTAAATATGTATATATAAGTCCTCATCATCATTCTGCATGTTTCAAAAGACAAACCGCTAAAAAACCCGTCTCGCAAAGAACGTTGTGATAAATAATGTTGTTTTTAGGAATAAATAATGTATCTAGTGATAACAGAGCTCCCATGGGTCAGGGAGAACAGACAATAAATGGAATTGTCAGAGAATTTTATTTTGACTCTAATATGCAGGGAATAATCAGGGAAAGTTGCATTTTTTACAAAAACCTGGTAAGTTCATCACATCTGGCAAATAACCACTCTTAAAATTGTCAGTAATAATCCATTATTGATATTCCAGTTAAATAATTATAACATCTATTATAATTATTAGTTGTAAAATTTTCATATTTTAGTAAAACTTTTTCATGCTTCCATCCTTATTCAACGATATTTTTTTATCACAAATTCTAATATTTGACATAACAAATAAACGAAATCAGATAAAATAATTTCTGAATTTTTATTGAAAAAATAATTTCTAAATATAGATAAAATAATTTCTGAATTTTTATTGAAAAAATAATTTCTAAATATAGATAAAATTATTTCAGAATTTTTATTGAAATTTTTCTAAAATACCTGAGGAGGTCAGGTAATTATATTTCTAAAATTAAGTATGAACTCTGATGATAATTGCATTTCAAAAACGATTACTTTAATGATTACATGTAAAATTTGATTTATCAAGTATGTCCTATTAAATAACTTTTTAGTGTTGTTATATTTAATTTAGAAAACATGATAGATAGAATATATTAACTAAAAATTTTACTAAAAATTGAGGGTTTTAATTTATTTTTTATAATATAACTCAATTTAAATTTGTTTTCTTTTTTTTTAGCAATGAATTTAGTGATTATGATAAACAATCATACTTTTTACAAGATATTTTAAGTTTCTTTGGTTTGTTGTGGATGTCCAATGAAGTTCAAACGTAAGTGAAACTTATTGCTACATTTATAACTGTGAAGTGTATATAACATAAGAGGATCTTTCAATAAGTCCTTAGAAAATCTTAACCCTTTCGCAGAGGGAAGCGCAAACGCGTGCTTATCGTTGAGGCTGGCAGTCTCTCTCGCGAATGTCTGTCCAGGGCTGGAGGGATTTTTGCTGTTAACCCTAAAACCATGAAATTACCGAAATATCAACGTGTTGTTTAATAATGTTCTGTAGAGTATTTAAATGACATATGCTTTATATATATTTCTATAGATACTTTATTTGCTTAAGTTATTTCTTCTTTAAATATATGTTTTACGCATTTTATTTTCATTATGTACTTACCAATTTAATAACTTTTAACATTATATATCTGAAAACAAAATATATGACTTAAAATTCTTTTTTCGTATGAAAAATTTTAAAACACTAACATTACACTAAAAGCTAGACCGCAAATCAAAATACCCAACGCTGTAGCTGGGGGAAAAAAACTCCCCTGCTTACTGTAAACAAATACAACGTGCGAATTTAAAGAGCTGTCATAAAACATTTCTTTCTCCTCCATTTCTTCCCCCTAAAAACCACTTGTATGTGAGTCACACTACTCTCATTTTGAGTAGAATGTCAAATCTACATGTATCTGAAACCATATAGACATACAATGCCATCTTCTGGAAGAAATTTTATTTTTTAAAGCATTCCAGTACACTGGCGCAAATGAGTTGCGGCCGGGATTGAACGACAAAACGTTCTGGCGCGCCGGCGTGTTGGCCGGGAAGTGAGTGCGTTTCTTGCTGCCATCTATATGTGACAGTCAGCGCGAAAGGGTCTTAGTATTAAAAAAAGGTTTGCTTTTAGAAACTGCCATTCCTTTCTAGATTGATATGAAAGTTACAACTTTATCTGTCACAGTGTTTCATTGTCATAATTGATTGAAAAAACAAACAACAGTTTATGGAAGCTGAAACAGGGGGAAAAGGGAGCTATGTGCGGTTATTAAACACTTTTATTTTAAATGTTTGAAACTCAAAATGATCACAACTAAGTTGGATGAAGCTCATGCTAAATCTGCTCCTGTGCTAGCAGCTATTTTAGAATTTAGTATATGAGTATCATTGTAGCATACATCCGCAAATGAGGAACATCTTTTGAGACATCCATGGCAGAGATAGAATCCAGGAAATGATTTTGAGTGACCAACAAATCAAAGAGCACAAAATAGTGGAGGTCACAGACGTATCACAAGGAAATAAATTAAATTTTGCAAAAAAATTTGGTGTAAAAAGGCTTTTTGAAATGGGTGCCTTGTCTGCTCTCATTAAAAATTCACTAAAGTGCACACCAGCACATTTGTAATGGCAGAGATATTACAATACTCACCACCAGATTTGAGTCACAGTAACTTTATTTGGTTCCACGCACACACAAAAAAAATTTTCTCAGAAATACGATTTGCGTTAACAGAAGAGGCCTTAACCCAAACGGATTTCCTATTTTGAGGACCTTCTGAAATTCTACTTTTTAGATGGTTAAAAAGTAGATTTTCAGAAGTCTGCTAGCTGAAGAAACGTTGGGGAAAATGTGGTAAGCTAAAAAGAGATTACACTGAAATATAACAAAAAACTACCCAAAATTATCAATTTTTTCCTTCTGACCCTCATATTATATAAAATGTTTCTCATTTTTTTATGCCATATGAAAATCAGCTTTACTGAATGTAATTTTTAAGATAGTTAAATTTCATGTGAGACAGAATGCATCATAATTTGGCTTAGTTACCATTTTCTTGATATAGTTATGTTCGTAATAAATTATAAATTTTTAGTTGCATAAGATTGCATAAAAAGCTTCCAATTACAAAAGGTCAACTTAGTTTTCTTAAATTACAATGTTCATACTATAAAACTACCTCTCTTTTTTTACTTTGAATAAAGTTTTTTAAGACAAAATTATAAACTAAACTCAGTTGCATGACAAACGTAGGAGGACCAAGGCTTATTGTGGCCATCCCAAATTTCTTGATCTTGGGCTCTGAGGTACAGGAGCAGATGTTCCTGTTAGGTGATCAACCGAATGTAGAACCCCCAGTGTTTAGTCCCCACGCCTGCCTGGTACTCGTTTTATCAACCCACTGAATCAGTCAGCCTTGCGGTTTTGAGGATAGAACCTCAGACTTGTGTCACGAGAGCACGAAGCGGTATATTTCAGCCACCGAGCACCAATAATATTGTAAACTGTATTTGAAATTTGCACTTATCTGTTTATTCAATGTGTATATAAGGCAATACAAATTATAATTTTCTCGGTTTTGAGGGTGTTTGTTTGATGAAGGCTTCACTGTAGATATGTTTTTGTCATACGCTTTTTTAATGTATGCTTGAATTAAATACAGAAAATATAAATATAGTGTGATGTTTTTGTTTGACTTCATAAATTGACTTACGTTTGCTATGTGTTATACCCAGATTTAAATTTAGTTTCCTTATACTTTAGATTTTTATAGTTTTAAAACAGTTCTATCATTATAATTAAACTTGAAGTTTGTCAGTTACATGAGACACAAATTTTTTTGAATGCTTTAAAGAAACTTAATGGTTTGTTTTTAATTTCGGAAGCAAAGAATGAAACAATAAAAAAATAGTTTTTCTCAAATGAAAGTTTTTAAACAATTTGTGAGGTTTATTAAATGCCATATTATTTAATCTATATAAGTTTCTTATGTCATATGTTATTTTCAGAGCTCTGTCATCTGTTGAAAACTTCATATCTATATTGGGTATTGATGTTCCTTTTAATGATAAACCTGAAGAACAGTGTTTATCAAAACAAGCAAGTGATGTATGTGTGTCTTTAGCATCTAACATTAAATGAAATTGATTAATTTTGGTAAATACAGGGTGACAAAAAACATGCCCAAGAGCTAATACATGCTCAATATATTACTTTTAAATGTCAGGCAGAGGCATGAAAAGTATAAAAGTGTTACAGAGCTATAGCAGTGTCACAAAATTTTCTTTTACTTAAATTCTTTTTTTTTTTCCATAAATTTTTTTTTTTAAGGTTGCCAAAGTATTTGAAGTTTTCTTGGCTTAAAATGCCCTTTCTCTCAAGCTAACTGTGGGAGGCTTTCGTGGTTTACCTCTCTATGTAATGCAAACATTGGTTGGTTACATCAAAAAGTCCTCCACAAAGGCTAGTTTGTCCCAATACTTAATCCAAGAGTTAACTTTGTCTTCTGGATTAGGTTCAAACTCACAAAGCTTCAAAGTTTAACATTGATAATTGTAAACTCAAAATTAGGTCATGTGTTAAATGACGTTTATAAAATAAAATTAGTCCCGGTCTCTAACAAAGACCAGACAAGAATTTATTATATACCAATCTTGCAAATAAAGTGACCATTCTCAAGCATCTTTAACTCTGCATACTAGAGCAGTAAATTCGATAACACAACCTACATTCATAGATGATTCAAAATTTATGCTTGTACCAGTACTTAGCATAAATTTTAGCGGTTTATAAAAATTGGTTAAAAAATCAATTCTCATATAACTCTGTGAATATTAGTCCTATGCTTCATAACTCAAATGTTCCAAAACTATCATTTTGTGGACAAGCATCGCCAATCTCTAAATTATCGCCAAGTCTGCTGCCGAACTGAGTTTTCAATAAGAAATGCATTAAGTGTAATTTTATCTCTAACATTACGCTATTATTTTTGCAATTTTCTTGCACAACTGTTCATTTAGGGTTTTCTAGTTTCATTCGCTTTTGAAACGCATGCTTGAATATACACACTATTTAGCCATAACTTTTTTTTAACTCCAGATCTGGTTTTATTGAAATCAGCCCATCTGGTTTTGATTATCAGCATTCTACTGAAAGTTGTAATTTTATTTTTATGAGTAAAGGATGAGTTATTATTTTTGTAGTATTTGTGGAATTTTTATGGGTAATATAAAAAGTAAATATAAAGTTTTTAATTAACAAATTAGTTGAGTAATATCGGTATAAACTAAAAATAATTTTATGTATTGAACTTTAACTTTCCTCTTCTTTTTTTTATTTATAGATCAAGCTCTGTGTAAATGTATTTTACAGTACTGTTAAACGCTGCTTTTACCCTTCAGATCCCGAAGTAAGTTAAAAATGTGAAGAATCATTTGTAAATTGCATGTATTAGATATTCCTTATTTTAAAATTACTGACTCTTATTTTTGTAATAATTTCTTACTTCGTAGATTATAATACGAGCGCATTTTGTTAAATTTTTTGTGAACTTATTACTTCTCAAACCATTGATGATGTTTTTAGTTACGTATGATAAATTAAGAAGTGTAACTTTTTATTAAACTATTATCCTTTTTCCTCACTTTCTCAAGTTTTACTTATTTATTTTATCTGATTTCATTTTTTACTGTGTGATATTGAATCTCTTCAGACTTTTTTTAACTACTTTTTTATTTTTTGAGGATTGTAACTGCAATGTGTTAAATATTCTTTGATGATGATAACAATACTTTCAAATCTTAGAATTCAAAGAATAGTTTTTGTAAATAGAAAAATCAAATTTCAAATGTGTTTAGACCAGATAAATCAGGGGTGACGAACCTTTATGGTTCTATGTGGCATTTTTTATAAAAAAATAATACAAATTTTATAGTTTCATAGATGTGCCGTCAAGTAGTTTTGACTTTATGATTATAGGGTAAATAATAATACTAAATACTATCAACTCAAAACTCTTTATTTACTACCAAAAAAAGAAAATACATTTTGCTATGTTATACAAATAATTCAAATTAAAGTAGCATTAGTAGGACTTCTGTTATTGCAGATTATACGACAAATAACTTATATTATGGTTGTAAGATGTTACTTTTAGCAAAATGCATGCTGCACTGGAGTCATCTGTCAGACAGTTTCTAAGCAATGCTTTAATGTTATTCATCTTTGATGACTCACAGGCGTAGGTGGATGAAAATATGGTTAAACCTGAGCCGGCTTCTTCAAACAGTTAAATGTGTCTGGTAACGAATTCCATGTTTCCAAAGCTTATGAAACCTTTTCTTTTTTTTTGCCCACCATGCTTGGACCATCACCAATTGTTACTGAAACAAATTTTTTCAAACTAATTTCTTTTTCACCAAGCAAAATTTTAATAGCCGTACAAATAACTGTTCCCTTTGAAGCTGTTAGCAATAATATTATCGCAATTAATTCTTCCTTAATGACATTTACTACCGAGTATCGAGCAAAAACAGCTAAACATGCATATTTAGTGACGTTAGTACTTTCGTCAAGACATAGTGATATAAAAGGAACAGGGTTAATGTCAATTTTTTGTTGTTCTATCGCATTTTTGGCCAGTTTTAAGATTCTTTCTTTTATTGTGTTTCTAGATAAAAGAGTATCTTTGACGTGCTGAATTATCTTATCTTTTGTATCAAAATCATCAAAAAATGAGGCCGCGCATTCTAACCCGGCCTATTTCAGAAACTCTCCCTCTTGGAAAGGTTTACTATGCCAAGCAATGACAGCAGCCGAGTAACTTGCCACACTTCTATGATAATTTTTGCCAACATATTTAATCATAGAGGTCAACTGTTTATTTCTGTCATTCATTGCACTTGCAATTAATTCCTTTTGCTGTGGTTCACTTTTTTGATTAACGAATTTGTGATTTGTTTCAAAATGCTGTTTTACAGACGATCTTCTACATACCACTGTTACAGAGCATAAGACGCACTACTTTGTTGCCTGTTCTAATCATGCAATATTTCTCAGTCCACCAAGCTGGAAATTCTCTGATACACTTACTATCTTGCACTTTTTGTTTTTTTACTGAACTAGCCATATTAAATAACAGTTAAAAATTTTAAATGTAACACATGAACTTAACAATACATTTGTGACAACGAAATTGATTATTATGCTATGCGTCATTAGCTGTTGTAGCCCACAATGTAACTACAATAACAAACTAGCGTGCTTCGTGCTTCCAAATACTCCGTAACGAAGGATCACTCGTGTACGTTTCATAGCAAACTTTGTGATAGGTGGCGTACCCAAACTATTGTATCATTTGCCATTGGTTCGCCATCCCAGAGATTAATATTGTTGTAATGGGGATAAACTAATTTAGCCTATTTTTTGCTGTTATGATGTAGCATTATTAGTAAAAGCAGTAAATCTATTCTGAATGATCTTCATTATTTTTTTTATCACAGATTATTGAGACAAAAATTTTAAAGAAAAACTTATTCTGCATTCTTTTGAGTTACACAGTGTCTTTTTTTCCTTACTTTCTCTCTCTTTCTTTCTTTCAACTACATTTTAAGAATGAATCATTTTCTTTTACCATTTCGCTTGTTGTTATGGCAAAAATACTTATCTAATTTGACTTTTGTAAACAAAATTACTTTAAAATATTTTTCAGGTTGCTAAGAAGGGAAATTTTATACATCCATTAAGTGAATCAACCAACTCAATTTACTACAGAAGTCCTATAGCTGAATTTTTAATTCCCAAGTTACCTCAAGTTTTCCAGTTAGCAAAGTGAGTTCTTTAATAATAATTATTAAGAATAAAGGAAATTTTATTTGGATTATTGCTTTTAATGGAATGTAATAGCTGTATATATATTTATAAGAAGTAAGTTGATCTTATTAACAGTAAAAGCATTTTGTGCTCAAGTAGGCTTATGATAAAAAATTTTCATGTACTTTCTTTCTACCTTCAAACTGATCCTTGCACAAAAACATGCTTGTTTCAGTTATTTAATATAAAAAAAATATTAATATGTAAAGTTATTAAGAATAATCAACTTAAAATTATTAGGTAAATGTCTTAATCTCTCTCAGTTTCTTATAGCTCTGAAAATTTTAGTCTTATATCCTTTTATCTGATTTATTGATCTTGGACAGGCTTATATTGAATGTATATGGGCTAAAAAAATGTCTCTTGATCACCAAAATTGAGAATAAGCTCGTTTCTAATGTGCTGTTATATGTGAGTTTTTTTTCTTCTAGATTACTGAATTCTATCTATAATCCCCAGAATCGACAAAAAATCCATCCAAGTTATTTACCCGTTTTAGGTGCTGACTTAAGAGATATGAGTGCCATATTTGGTAAATATATGTTTCTTTTTTTAATTAATTCGTAACATTATTTTATATTAGATTACAACTACAACTTTTGTAAATTTTCAATGCATTTGTTCTAATATTTCTGATGTTATCTCTTTTCAAACTTTTATTCGTTAATTGATATTTTTCAGGTTTGAATTCTCCAAAGTCCAGAAACCGTGTGACCAAAATCAAAAATTATATTCTAGACCTAAGTCAAACTTGGTAAGTTTCTAATGTTTTGAAACATCCTTCTTATTTTTGACAAAACCTGTACATATATCATTCAAAAACTATCTACTTACCCATTTAAAAGTTAGAGCTTTTATTTAACAAGTGGAAACAAAATATTTTATTATTGATTTATTTAATCTAAATTTGAACAGCTATCTATTATCTAATGTAACATTTCAAAAATTCTTTAAAGTATTAAAAATATTTTAATTCACATAATTATATTGTAATTATTTCTAATTTATCTGTGAAATAGATCTTAAATCAGCAGGTTTTAATATATTTCTGCATTGTTTAATTATGAAAAACAATGTAACAATCTTGCTGTTATTTCATTAATAGTTGCAAACAAGACATCCTGCTGAATAATATTGTTTTATGTGTCCTATTCCTTGTTATGGTTGTTTTCATTTATGTTTAAAAGCTTTAAACAGTTTTTGATATCCCTGTCATATAAAAATTTAAATTCTGGATCATTAGATGCTATTGAAAATATTCAATTGTGACTGTAATTTTAATTAGATTTGTGTTTTTGTCTCAAGATCCTGCCTATATTGAGTGTGTGTTAAGTAAATTAACTATATATTGAAAAAGTTAATGTGTGACTGTGGAATAAATTTTCTTATTGGTGTACGTTTGCTAAACCGATGATTAAAAATTGGTGTAATTTCAGGGTATTTTGAAGACAGGAAATAGGATACACGTTTTTTAAATGAGTAATTTCAACGTCCATCTTTATAATATGCTTATTTAGCATCGTTAAGTAATAGTTTTGCATTTATATGTTATATTTCTATGGTATGGAACTTGCAGCAGAGATATAACAAAACATATTTGTGTTGTTAAGTTATAGTTTGGTATTATCCCAATATGTTGAGATCTACTTGTGTACTAGACATTTATTTTTTTGAAAGTTGAGTTTTTTTTAGTTTTGTTCTTTTAGTACTACTGTATGGTATACGTGTGCCTGGTATACCTTACACTGTTATTTTAAAGTTTACTGCCACTGCCCAGTATTTATTTACCTAGTATACACTACACTGATGTTTTTTTAAGGTTAAGTGCAATTGTAATTGTCTGGCATACCATGAACGCTGTTGCTTAAAACTGACCATAATACAAGTGAACTTCGAATTTCATTGGATTGCAATGTTTGATTTTATTTTTGACATCAGGTGCAGACGCATAATAAAACAGTTGCATAACATTTGGTATAGATCTGCATTTTTTATGAAATGCACCTTTTGTGTTAAAAAGTATCCATAATGCAAGTGAACTTCGAATTTAATTTCAATATTTGATACCATCTCAGCTTGTGATGAAAGTGGCGCCAAAAGTGGTTGGAGAGAGAAAAAAAACCCATTCCAGACCTCATATTGGGTGCAGAGGCACAACATATCAGTTCATTTTTTTATTCATTCAACTATTTTAGATATAAAATTTTAAAATATTTATTGTTTTAAATTTTTGATTGCCTTTTTTTCATTAAGATTTTTAATTCTTGAGTTAATTTATGTACTTTATGACTGTCCTTGTCCAATTTAGATTAATCATTCTATTTTTTTACAGCATTACAATAATGGGCACATGTGCAGAGAGTTGTACAATAGATTTTTATATGATTCCTAATCTAAAAGATATGTTATATGACAGTCTCTTCTTCAACATTCAGCATGTTCCTGATACAAGACTTAAACACCTCATTCATATCCTTTCTTTTTTTAAAAAAAAGTATTAAAATTTATTTATAGTTGTAATTTTGTTTTAATAATATTTTTATGACTCATGAAATATGAGTAAAATTCAGAAAGCAATAATTTATTGTTTAGCCATTGAACTGTGACAAGTTAAGAGTGTTATTTCCTCCTGTTATGGAGGTGTGACAGAGGGAGAATAACATAATTTAACTTTTATTTCTTTAGTTATTTTTAAAATGGAACTAATTTTAAATATTTATCTAGCTAGCAGTACCTTTATAATTATGTAAAATACAAGGTCCTCTCTATATTAAAATTTTAGCAATCTAGCATATGATATTTTCAATTCTCTATTGATTTGAATTTTTTTTTTGACAAAACACTTTCAATTTTATTCTGCAATTAGCATTTTTTGAAAATTCATTTAGAATTATAAATCTGTCCATTTTTGATAAATATCTTTATTATTGTGTAACTTTTGTGAAGAAATCTTTTCGCTAATATCTAAATTGGTTTTCATTAGTTTAAACAATAATGCAATTAAGCTTTAAAAAATTTTTAATCAGACAAATATGCAGCAAAATTACCTACCCATAATTACAAACTGAATAATTTTATTATTTTGCATTTAGAGAGAAAAGAATCTATTCAAATTCTAAAAATTTTCGAGTCTGTCATAACAAGTTTATAAAGAATTAAAGAACATCAATAAAAAAAAAAATCCAATATCTTACCTAAAATTCAAGATTGTAAGGAAAGAGGCCTCTTAAGTAAACAGGAGTCACTTGGTCTTCTTGTATTTCAGTGATTGTTTTTATATATTAGAGACTTAATAATAATTATGCTTACTTAGACAACAATAATCACTTAATTCTAATCAAAGATTACATACTTTGATTAGAGTTTAGTGACACAAGGGCCAATCTAAATTCCTTTCAATCTTTAGCAATTTTCACCAATCATATCTTTGCTATTCATTAAAGATTTTTTCATTTAAAAAATAAAGTGTTGAGGCATATTTGATATGTTTAAATTATTAGCTTTTTTTAAAAAAAATATGTTATTCTTTAAGTAAATTTAATTCTTTGTTATTCTTTCCACCAAAATGTACAAATAGTTCAAAACTTCAAATTCTTTCCTGACTCCTGAAAATTTTGAATTCTTGTAGAGCATTATAATAAACCGTAATTATAAACTCACACAAAATATTTTTAATTCATAGAATACAATTTATTTTATTTGTTAAATCTTAAAGTGAAAAAGTTATAGCATCTTACATCAATTTAGTGTTACCATTTAATTAAAAGTTCTAATAATTTAAAACCTAATTCACTATCAATAACTCAATTACTTAAATCAGTAACTTAATAACAATTTAATCCAGTAACTATTAAATTGCTGATCAAAAATGTTAAGGTATGTGTGTGTATATATTAATCATTCCTCAAATTTTTATTTTTTTTACTGACAAATTAATAATTGTTCAGATGTATCCTTAATTGTTTTTAAGTAGCTTTTTGTTACAATTTTCTTTGAATTGTCCTGGAACTACAAATCCAGATTTGATGTCTATTTTATTGGCTTATTTCACATTTATGCTTCAGGTAAGATTTCACTTCATTAAACATATGTTAATAACCATTTGCCAGAATTTAAAATAATTAGTTAAAGAGCATGTTTTAGTCTTTTCTTTATTTACACTTAAAAATTTTAGATAAAAAAAGAGAATTTTACTTACTCCATGTTTAACCAGCAGAGAATTATATGAATGTGAATTCATCTGAATTATTTATAAATATTTTTTGTTTCATTTTATTTATAACCTCTTAAACCTATTTAGTAAATTTTAAAGTCCAGGTATGTTTTTTAAAAATTTTCAAACCTTTAATAATAACCTTTTAAAAAGCTGTAAATAACTGACAATCTTAAATTTAGATAGATAAGTTCAATCGAATTATTTCAATGAATAAAATAAAATAAGAAATATTTTAAAATATAGCTTGTATTATTATTATTAAATTTAATATAAAAAAGAGGTAAATATAACTCTAACTAAGAGAGTTCATATAACTCTCTTATAGTTAATATGGGGAAATTATAATAGAATTTTCTCTCCTTAAAAAAATTATTATCTGGAATTTAATAAAAATTGAAATATATTAGTGTCTTTCTTTTACTAAATGCCTATTCACTGATAATTTTGTAACCAATTAATTTCATTTTCAACTTATCATTTTAAATAATTCAGATTTTAAATAATAGTATGAAATTAATGTAACATCTCATGAAAATTTTGTATTGTTTAAATATTTAAAACTAAAAGAAATTTCTTTTTTGTTGTTAATTTCTTTTTTGCTTTTTATATTTATTTATTTTAATTGTTGCTAAATTCGAATACATCAAATTTCAGAAACACTTATTAGAACTACATGAAGTTAATGCAATTTTATTTAAACTTAATTCTTTATTGTTACAATGTTATCCGTAAATTAATATTAGTTGTTTTTAATTTGTTTTCTCACAAAAATTTATGAAAATAAGTTATTTAATTGTTATTATAATTTTTTGCTATTTGCTTGTTTGAAATGGAACAGAAATTTTTTTCTTTTCAAATTTAATTTTCTTCAAAAATAACAGTTGTAATTTCATAATTTTCAGTCTCTGACTATTTGTAAACAGGGTCACCTCACCAAATGCGATAAAAGTGTAAATTTGGCAAATAAAATTGCGCTTTGGCAAAGGATTTTTTCCACTGGAAAGATCTATATTTAACTCATCAAAATGAATTTTTCTAAACAAAGTGTTTTTTTGTAGATGTACTGCCAATTAGAATTAGGTCTAAATAATATAAACCTGAAGCAAACTACCATAAAATAGCTTTGTGTAGGAAAAAAAATTAATCATAAAAATTGATAAGCTTTGCATTTGGGGAAGACTTTTCAAAAATTTACGAATACTTTTGATATTTGGCTAATAAGTTGAAATCCTTAGCACGGGCCCTGAGTTATGAACAATTTAGTAAACTGGTAGTTCTTATTATATGAACATTCAATGGAAGTTTTTTTAATGCTAATCAAATTTACTCTAATAATTTTCATTATTATTTCTTCGTATTTATAAAACAGCTTTCTTTTTAATTAATTCAAAAGTATTATGTCAGTGAATTAATAAATGTTAAACCAGAAAAGGTGGTTAACATTCCACCGTTTATTATTTTATAAAAAGAAATTTATAAATGTTTTTGTGCATTTTTTTTTCTAATAAGAGAATTCTCCTTTCTTTATAGAAACTAACTTCTTCATGGAATAAATTCAAATTAAAATATGGAAATAGGTAATATAAGTTTTTAGCAATTTGGTACATTTTATTTTAAAACTTTGAATTCAACTAAGAAATTTCTGAGTAAATATGTTCAATAAAACTCATTTTAAAAATTTAGTATTTCTAACATCTTTATATTACAGTCTATGGTCTTTGGTACGACCATTCTACTTTAATGATCCTTCCATATATTATAATAATCCATAAAATCTCGTTTGCTATTCTACAGATGCAATGTTATTTTAACACCCATTATGAATTCCAAGATTACCATTTATTCAAATATTATTTATGACATTCAATATAATTTCTGAAATAATGATTATAAATAGTGTTAAACTTTTTGGGCTTTCAAAACAAAACAAGACAAAAAATCCTTCTATTGAGAAGGGAATTATTTGTTATAAAGCTTTATTATGATACAATAAGTTTGAATAATTTTAGATTATCTTTGAAAGAAAGAGACTTAACAGGAGCTCTCAAAATTCATCATTTATCATACAATATTAAAATAATTTAAAATAATACAATATTAAATTGTAAACTGTCTCGTACATATTCACAGTGCTGATTGTGCTCCAGATTTCCGGATTTTTCACTAACAGTGATTCGGAAGTTTCCGGAGATCGAAGGTCCAGAAGTTTCAAAAAATCATTGACCACAGAAGTTTCCGGAAATCAAATTTTCAAAAGTGAAACTTAAGAACACAGTTTATTTTATTTGTTTATAAGGGAGAGCCGGAGAGATACTTTATAAGCTTATATTCATGATTAATATTCATTCTTTATCAGTAAATAGTTGTTATAATCATAAACTCTAGAAAGAAGGACACATTTGTAAGTTTTAATTACTTCTCCAGGTCGTCATAGGTATGTGTAAATGGTATAGGTATATGTAAAGTTTTAAATATATTTTAAGTAAACTAAGAAATATTGAGAAAAAGTTTTTAAAAAAAACTTTTTAAAACTTTTTTCTAATTTTTCAATGCAAACTTTTTTTTTTTTTAACAAAAAATTTTCTGGAATTTTGACTTGGACTCACTATCACTTCTGTATTCATAAAGTTTTAAAAGAGATTCATTTATTACCTGTGTAATTTTTCTTTTAAATGAAGCTATTCATTTATCAATTATATTTTTCTTTTTTGGCAATTTTACTTATTCACTCTTTTGTGTAAAATTCTAGTTCCGCTCGCTTTCATTTTACTTTTATTATTCACACTCTTACTTATTTTGCTAAATCATTGCATTTAACTTTGGAATTATAGATAATTTTACTTTAAATCTTAAAGTTGTTTTCTTTAATTCCCACACAAATTTTCCTTTTACAATTTTACCAGCAAAAATTTTCCCCATAAATAACTTTTTTTTTTTTAAATCAAGGATGAACATGTATAGTTGTATATTTGAATTAAATAAAACAAGCAATGCTGTTTATTGTTAAACTATCAATTTAAACATTCTTACAAATTTTTTGACAGCATCATTTTGCATCAGTTTTTCATATTTAAATTAATCTCTGCATTATATTTGTACACTCTCAATATAGCAACATCCTGTTATTGGGTCTTTTTTTTTTCATTTTAATAGTTAGACCTGTAATTTTTGGCTTCAACTGTATTAATTTAACCATTTACAAATTACATAAATAAGTCATTATAAAGTTATTAGAGTTCAAACAAGATTATATGTTTTAAAAGTTTCTTCCATGTTATTATTTTCTAGAGTAGTAATAAATCTTTATCAAAACGCTGTTTACATGGTTACAGTGTAGCATTAAAAACATAACCTAAAAATAACAAATTACTCATTTTAATTGAAAATTTGTTCATCCTTAAAAAATACATTTTTATTCATAATTTTTTATTGTAAATCTTTGTCAGTGGCATAGCGAGCAAGGGAGACAAGAGTACTCTCAATACAATATATCTGTCCTTGGCTTTCTTTTAGTGATTGCTAATTGCAGGAAAATCGAATTCCAGAATAAAATATTTTTCTCTTTTATACTCCCAGTTTCATTTGCTAATTACGAGCCCTATAGCTTCTTTAAATTTTTATCCAATTTACCTAAAAACTCAGTAGGAAATCTATTATTATTGTAGTTTGCTTTGCTCATAGGTTTTCTTTCGTTTCTTTTCTTTTAATGACAAATCAAGGACACATTGAATGAAAAGTATCCTTATAAATGTTACTCAATTAATTAGACTAAAACAATAAACTTAATCAAAAGCATCTAGATGTAATCAGAACTATGTCAATATCATACATTGTTAACTTTAAAAAATAATCAATTGAAATACAATTTATTGAGTTAAACTACTTAATTAATTTGACAAAAACAATACGCATGATCAAAAACATCTAGATGTAATCAAAGCTATGTCAATATCTGTCATGCCTCCATGTTGTGATGGCGCTGTCATCAAGGTAGATGTTGTAAAAAGACAGAGGAGGGAATGCTCTGATGGAGAGCGGAAGGGAATTGTTTAGATGTCTTGGTTATATTAAAATTCTAATCCTTTACCTTTATTAATAAATGTTTCTTTTGTGTTGTAAATTGGTTGCCATTTTTTGACCAATTGTGTTTTGGGAAGTATCTGAGTGAACAAGGGAAAAGGAGGAAAAATTATGCGTAATATCACAATATCATACATAGTTAAATTTTTTAACAAAAAATAATTGCAAATGTACAAAGTTATCGAGTTAAGTGGTTTTAAAATACATAATTTAAAGTTTTAAAATCTCATTCAGTGTATTATTTAACAATCGGATGCCAAGTGTGGTGAACTTCAGCTTTAACATAATCTAAAGTTTTAAATGGTCCCAAAGTATAAGATCAAGCTGTTAAGGACCGCAAAAATTTAGTTTTTTCCCCCCAGCATTGTAAACTTTAGTAACATCTCTGATCATTGTACAAAATATATTTTTTTAATACTGAGTCTTGCTTATTTAAAATACAATATATTTCTTTCGAATTATCTAGCATAAAATACGAGGAACAACAAACAGAAGATGAAGAAATTATTGAAGATCAAATGAACCGTCAACTATCCAAAACGCACATTGATTTTATAAGTATGAAAAAATTCACATCTATATCACTATCTTATATTCTGTTGAATTTTTACTTTGTATTGATATTTTCAGTGTTTCATTTATTTTTATGAATATATTTTTTAGTTGCATGTCATAGTTGTTGTCAATTTTACGGTTATGTAAGTTAATAAATTGCAGAGTAAGGCCTAAGTGGTTCTTTAAAAAATAAGTAATAAAAAAGAATGAGAAGTTTTCAATGTAGTCCTCTCTAGACTTTGCAGGGCCCTGGGCAGAACACATTGCAAAACTTTTTAAATGTATTTATTAAGCAAATGCCAGCCATTGACTATTAGGTCATGAGGCTTACTTTTGAAATGCTATTATCTTTTTCTTAAAAATATTGTTATAATTAAAGTAAGAGCATGCTAAAAGTAATTATATTACAGTATTGTATAAAACAAAAACAATATTATCATAAGATTAAAAAAATATAGAAAAATACAGCAAGAATTTTTAAAAAATAATCATAAATTATAAAAATGCTGATTAACATTAAGGCATCAATTTTTTTTTGTGATAACTCCATTAGAAAAAATTCCATTTTTCTCTTTTCATTATTATTTTAAACTTTATTTTAGAATAAATTTACTTTTCATACATAATCATATAATTATTTAAAAGAAAGTTAATAATATTGTTCAATGCGATTTTATCTTCTAGAGAATAATTTTTTTAATAAGATTTTTAGTTAAATTTATCTGACAAGTTTCTATCTTACACACTTTTCTACTAAATATAAGTTATAATGTATAGTAATGAAATATTTTTCATGCAAAATGATAGTGTTAAACGTTAAGCTCCTAGTTTCAGTTTTTATTAATGAAAAGACTTAATGAAAGAAAAGATTACTGAATAAAATTTCCTACCAAAATAGAGCAAGTTCGCCTAGCTGTAAATATAATATATATATATATACATATATATATGAGATATTACATTATATACTTGTATTTTGTAGTTGATTTACTCACTAAGTGTGACAAACATTCTTCTCTGCAAAATGACTCGATGGAAGATGATGTTAAATCAACAAATTTCAAATTTAGCAATAAAGCACTTTCTCCTCTTGGAAATGCACTATTGAATGCTGAGGTATTATCCATTTTCCTCTCTCTTGTTTTGTAAATTTTAACGAATTTGAATTATTTAGTATGCTGGCATATGTGGGAAATTATTCTTTTGAGAAATTATTCTTTATATTCATGCAAGTAAAACTATTATATTTTTAAACTTTTACACTTACACTCTCATGTGATCTAACATTGCATCAAGTTACTGAAAAAGGCATTGTTACATTAAACATTACAAATTGAGTTTATTTTTAGTAAGTATTATAAATAATTTCTTGCCATTAATTTTTGTAAAAAATGTTTTATTTTATAATCATTAACTTAACTTAAATGAGCTCTCTACTTAAAAATTCACAAATAAGCGGTAGTAATCTAGCATCTTATTAACATTAGAGTATTTTCTTGTAGTTCGCCTTTCATGTTCTATAAAAAAACAAAATAGGCAAAAATCTATTATAATATACTTTTTATTCAGTTCAAGTGTACCCTCTTTTATTAAGGGTCTTATACATTCATTATGATAAAAATATGATAATATGGCAACAAAAAAAAGTAACTAATAAAAGTAGCATATAATGGTCAATATACTTCGACAGTAGAAGGAACTCCCCTCGCCACTAAGTTTAATGCCATCCGCTGCTATGGAAACAAGAAATGTCGCTTTTCAAAAATAATATCTCCTCTCTCCCCTAATTCCCTTTCTCTCACTGACTTGAGTCAAAACCTATCTTAAATATTGACCCAATACTCCTACTTGAGCCTTGATTGCTCAAGGAATAGAGTGTTTGCCTTTCAATGAAGTGAACCAGGTTCGAATCCCAGCGATGGCTGGTCGATGCGAATTGCCCATCCCGCTTTCACTGACCTCAGTGCTGACGTAAAATATCCTCAGTGGTAGATGGATCATGGGCTAGAGTCCCCTTGCCATCAGGCTAACCGTGGGTGGATTTTGTAATTTTCCTTTTCATGTAATGCAAATGTAGGTTAGTTTCATCAAAAAGTTCTCCAGGAAGGCAAATTTTTCCCAATACTTGATCAAGGAGTTCTGTTGTCTTCTGGATTGGGTTCAAATTCACAAGGCTACAGCGTTGAACATTAGTAGCCATAAACCCAAAAAATTGTGTCTACTGTTCAACGATGGTTATAAAATACCCTTACTTAAGATAGTTAAGCCTCATAACCATTGCTACCATAACTGCTTTCATATGCATGATATGGGAAGTTTGTTCTATAGGTATCTCACTGACTCAGGCTTCATGCAGCCTTCTATAATTAATAAACTCTGGAAAAAAAGTTTTGAAATGTGGAATTTAGCATATTATCAATGCATGCAATAAGATGAATACTAAATTAAATACTTTTGAACTGCAGCATATACCACCTAAAAATTTATCTGATCTGATACTTCCAAACAGTTTTTAAAAGTATGTTGTGCACTTAGCTCACCAGAGAAATTCTGAATTATACTTTAATTAGAAAGTTTAAACTTTAAGGATAAGCTTTAATTATAAAGACTTAATTTTCATGTGATATATAATTTTGATATTTTGAATTAGTAATATTCTTATTAAATCATTATTTACATTTATCTGTGTTTCATTTTCTAACATTTTTGTTGGCAATGAAAATCAGCTTCACATGGTTTTAGAGCTAACAGTTCAGTGAAACATTAAAATCTTAATATTATTTAAAAATATAATGTACTTACACTAACATCATTTAAAAATATGATTTTAATTTTTGTTAAGTATTATTATTAGGTCAATACCAAAAGTCTACTTGCTTTCCAGAAGAAAAAAAACTAAACTATCTCATTTTAATGATTGAAGATTTGCCTCGTTTTCTAAGTAATAGCCTGTTTTATCATTGTAATTTTTTAGATCTTGTGCTAGTTCTTGTGAGCTCTTGTCATACCAGCTCCCAGTCATGTTCTGGCCTCACCCCATGGAAACAGTTCTTGACTATGGGGTGGTCTTTTTAACTTTTCTCAAATTTTACATTAATGATATCTTATCAATTTCTTTTTATATTTCCACAAATAAAACCTAAATTACATTTGGTGTTGAAAAAAGATTTCTTTACTTTTATTTATTTAAATAAAAATTATTGTGTGCATTATTTTTTTCCCTGCATATAGTTTTTGTGATATTTGAAATACATAAATATAAGAAAGTCTAATTCATAGAAATAATTTCTTTTAGGATATACGAACTGTGATAATATGCACTGCTTTCAACTCATTACAGTGGCTTGATTCTTCACTCAATCTTAAATCAATAATGATTTGTGAATTAATTTTCAAGCAAGTAAGTTTTTTTTTTTTAAATTCTTTTTTATACTACTTAATTTTTATTACCTTTAGTTCGATTGCTTTGTAGCCTTGTTTTAAATGCAGAAATAGAAATTCAGTCAAGTCCCCTTACAATGAAAGCCTTCTACTGTGGATTCCTACTTACAATGAAATTTATAGCTGGAATGTTACAGTAAAAATATTCTCCATTCAATGTAGTTGCTGTCTCCTTTCAAAGAAATTATTATTTGGCCTTTTTTTTTATAGTTTTCAGGATTTTTCAGATTTTTACCTTGATTTTCATCATTTTTGAAATAAGTTAGAATTTCTGTGCAACCAATTCACTATTGCGCATGCCTGTTTCTGAATCTCCTCGCATTATTCATCATTCCAACGATAATGCATATTAATTCTATGTTAATCTTTAATAAAACAATGCAAAGTCAGGAAATTTTTCAAGTGAAATAAACATTATTACAATGTCAGTAACTTACTATTCTCCAAATAGATATACTGTGTTCACTTCTAAGCATTTTACTTATATCAAAAATTCAAAATGACTACAAATTTATCTAAATCAACTAAAAATTTTAATTAATCACTGGAAAAATCTGTATAACAAAATTTTTACTATGGTGTATTTTTTAGCTGGAACAGAACCAACCAATCACTTTTCATTACAGAGAGACTCTGCACGGCAGTGAATGAAATTATTATAATTTTGATTCATAAAAGTATTTTGTCATTTCATGACAATATAAGATATTCTAAATTTATTCTGGGGATTAATAATTTCAAAACACTTTCATTCAGCTAAAAGTTCTACTACTATTATGTATGGACAATTCATTGACTATTATTAAATATGTATCATTAATTGACTACACTATTATCATTAAGAATTATGTTTTCTAATGTTCCTACATTTTCCTCCATTTATTTATTTTTTTAATAATTTTGAAGGAAAAAATAATTATTACAAAATTTTATTCAAATAATTTTATGAGAACTTTCATTCACCCCATAATAATAATTTTTTTTGACAAATATTACATATATATTTTAAGCACATGATTTATGCACAATCCTAAATCCATTGGTTAAAGTTATTTACCTCTAAGTGATTTTTACCTTTAATTTATAGCTTGCTGATAAAAGGTTAATTCAATCCATTCAAGAAGCTACTTACCTTCTTCAGAGTGTTCTACATAGCATCAAGGAACTTGGACAGCATGAATGCAATCTTAGTGCTTTAATAGGTTTTGGTATTACTATCTATCAATCATTAAAGCTCTTATTCCCTGACTTGAGTCAGGTTCTGCAAGATTCAACTAATTGTAATCCTTCTAGTCTTGATGTAAGCATTTTCTTTTAATTTAATGTTAAGGATTATGTTTAAACTTTTGTTTTTACTGACCAGTTTATAAAAAAATTTTAATTTTCAATATTTTAAGTTTTTTGACATTTTGTTGCCGTTTCTTAATAATATTTTTAGAATGTCTATAATATTATACAAATATTAAAGATTAATATGTGTATTGTTCAAAGCTGTTCAGCCATGGGAAATAAAAAAGCCACAGTTTAACAGTCTTATTTTTGAAGTAAGGCTTCAATTATAAACTTTATTAATATTATTTTGCTGAAAAGAATTGTCTGGACTTAAAAATAAAATAAAAAATAACTGAAATATTTTTTTTTCAATTTATAATTTTAAAAAAGAAAGTTAATTTCTCAAGATTTATCTACTTATATGAAAAATTTTAGAAATAAATGAATAATTCTCAATTTTTGCGTAGATTATGAGAAAATACCGTATTTGAGTAATTTTTTTAATGATAAAACAGATAATACAGATTACAAACAATTTTCTTTTTCACAAAACTGTGGTGTAGGCTTTTCTTCATATGAATATTCTTCACCATTAGCATAGAGGAAGCTGGCTAAAGATGGATAAAACATAACCTAACATTCATGAATAAATGTAGCTTAGTCACATCTGTTGTAAAAATAACCTGTTATTCACTAAAAAGCATTATTTCAAGGGAATATTCTCCACCGTTTTCATGCTTAGCATAGAGGAAAATGGATAAAACGTAGCCTAACATTCATGAATAAATTTAACAAAAACACAACTGTTGTAAAAATGGCATATTATATTCACTAAAAAGCATTATTTCATCTGAACATTCTCCACCATTTTCATAATTAGCATTTAGGAATCTGACTAAAGATGGATAAAACGTAACCTAACATTCATAAATAAATGTAACAAAGTCATAACTATTGTAAAACTAGCATACTATTCACTAAAAACATATTTCATATGACTACTGAAAGTTTGAAGAATATCCTTGAGTGTAAATATTCGAGTACGTGAACGATATTCTATGTCGGTATAATTAATGCATATATTATGCTCATAAGTATTTTCTTTCATTTAATATTTTCAACATTGTTTAAATGTTTTAAAAAGTATTTACTGACTTATGTTTTTGTTTTTCTTTTTCTTTATACAGAAGTTGAATGATCTTTTGAATAAAATTCAACCACCTGTTAAACCAGTGAAAGAAGCTTTTAAAAATGTGGTTCAGAAAATCATTGGGGTATGAGATATTATTTGTTTACTTTAGATCTGAAAGAAAGTATTGTAAAAAGGTAAAAATATTGCAACAAATTATTAAAAATAAGTATGTAATTTAAAAATAAAATAATTTTAAACGAGTTTTTGGATTGTCTCAGAAAGATTGAAAGATATAGTATTTCTTTTAAATTCAACCATGGTGAGTTCTTGAATAAAAAATACTTATTTATGTCAAATGATTTTGTGAAACTTGTTTTTAATGGAGAAAGATGCACTAAAATTTAAAAATATTTTCACAACACATATGCCAGATTAAAAAAATTTAAAACTCAAAAGTACTTACAACAATGTAATGTTTATTTCTAGGTTAACGTTGGTCAAGAGTACAAACGGAATGTAGTAATAAAGAATTTAAAGAGCTTCCAACTACCACCTAAAGAAAAAATATCATTCCTTGATAGTACTGATGATGTTGGACTTTGTAATTTATTCATACCTTTTAATGAAAACTAAACATTGTTTTGTATGTTTAAAATTTTTTTATAATTCTCAACATTTGTGTATATTATCATTAATCATCTGCATTATTTTGGAAGGAAAAAATGGGCATGTCTCCGACATCAATTTTTGTAAGAAATAATCAGCAAAAATTTATTTTAAGATCAGTAATTTTTCTCTTTTTCCCTTATTGCTGCTAAAATTACCAGTTTCATAAAAAACGAATGTTAAATTTTGATTTTGTATTTAGGCTTAAGTATTAAAACCCTGTTCAAAATTTTATTTTTAAAATGGCAATGCTTTGCCATTGTTTTACTTCAACTGAACTCATGTCCTGTAACATTTATTACACTCATAAGTAGTCAACAGGGTGCGTAGCATTTTTAAAAAGGTGCTTATTTTCGTTTTTTAAAAGCCCTTAAAGGTGCTTTTTTCATTGGGTGTTTTTAAAAAGTGCTTAATTTTCCCTATTTTAAAATGGGGGTTTTCCTATACCATGCTGATTTTTGCTAAGAATTATGCAGAAAGACAATGTTCAATTCAGCGTTTTCACAATTAATTCAACCCCAATCTATTTCGTTGCACCGAAGCGTATGAAAACGCCATTCGATTAACATGATTCAAAAATTTTGACAACTCTCAGAAACAATGACAAAAAGTTTTTCTTTTTTTTTGGCATGACGATTAAAACCAGATAAAACCGTCAATTGTCAAAAACTTTCCAACCCTACCTAAGTATGATATTTTTTTAAAGTGCTTAAAAATATTATTTGAGTGCTTAAAAAGTGCTTAAAAGGTGCTTATTTTTNGTCAATCCGAAGCGTATGAAAACGCCATTCGATTAACATGATTCAAAAATTTTGTCAACTCTCAAAAACAATGACAAAAATTTTTTTTTTTGACATGACGATTAAAACCAGATAAAACCGTCAATTGTCAAAAACTTTCCAACCCTACCTAAGTATGATATTTTTTTAAAGTGCTTAAAAATATTATTTGAGTGCTTAAAAAGTGCTTAAAAGGTGCTTATTTTTTGTTGAATAATTTGGCTACGCACCCTGAGTCAATCAGATTACCTTATGGCATTATTGCTAAAAATGTCCCTGATAACCAAATGTTATCCAGATCTTATTCTTGCCACAAAACAAAGTTTTTTTTTAATTGACTTTATGAATTTGTAATTAATTGCTGGCTCGAGATCATTCATATTTAATTCTTTAAGTTATTTTATTCTATTCATAGGACCAAATCTTAGAAAATTTTAATGATTCATAATTTGAAGGGTTTATTTTTGAGAGAAGCTATAAGAAGCATATCTCTTGATTGTAATAATTATCTTTTGTTGTCTAAAAGGTGAAAATTCTGTATCCGATTAAAAGATAAATTTCCTCTTCAAATTAATTCAATTACACACTTGTATATATTTTTCCCTGTTTTATTTATTAAAGTATTACAAATGACTGTATTAGATAGGGTGTAAAAATTGAAAATATTGAATAAAAAAATTTTTCAACTCATTTATACAAGTTATTAATTCTTATTAAAATTACAACTGAATTTTCATTCTTGTTCTTAAGCATTACAGCCTATAACAGGCCAAAATGTACAGCCTATAACAGGCCTCTTAATTTTTCTCTATCTGACCTTATAGTTCCTTATCTTTATTATATTACCGTTGTATGAACAATTATAAAAATTACTTTAATCCTTTGTCTTTTTCAAATTATAACTTAAATTAACTATACCAAATTAAGTTACTAGCTGATCAGCATATTTAAAACAGTTTTCTTGATGGATTAATTTTATAAAATATATATACACTAATTTATATAGTGCATTAAAATGAAATAAAGTAAACATGTATAAGGTTCTTTATCCTATGGCTATTGATAAGTTTTGTTCCTTCTATTTTAATAAATTAATCATTAGATGAAAATGAAATTTTTCGCGTGGTTAGTTTACTTTTATGAGCTAATTTTTATGTTTAAGTTATTTGATTGAAGAAAAAAAAACTTTTTAATTATTATAGTTTTAGCCATCTTACTAATTAATATAGAACTAAATTGATATCAAATTAGTAGTACTTCAAAAATTGCATCTTAGAAAAAAATAATTTCAAACTGTACTAAATTACGAATTGTACATAAAAATATCTTCTGCTTAAATAATGTAAATAGAGTAGACCTTCATTACTGCAGTAATTACAACCTATCTTGTATAATCCAAATCGAGATTTTGGATTTCACAAGCAATGTCGTTTGTTTGTTTTTTATCTATTTTTATCCTTAAACTTGGAAAATCATGTTTTTTGTTTATATTAATAATTTTATATAATATTTAAGTTAAATTTAGAAATTACTAATGTAGATTATGTTTAAAAATATTATTGTGAAAATTAACACTTTCAGCAAATCTTATTAAAACCATATTTTTATTAATTTTTCTTGCATAAAACCTGAAGTAGTCATGCAGTACAAAAAAGTATATTTTTATTATTATTATTGTGAAGTTTCATGCAGGGCCGAATTATGGCAATATATTATTAAAATTAATAAAAGAAAGAGTAATTGTTCCACTTTGGCTTACGAAAGTACTCAGATGAAAGAGATTCGAATGTGTGCTGAACTTGTATATCTGTTTCTATTAATGTTCTTTATTAAACACCACCTAGTATTTTTTTTAATTTGGTTTTTTATTTAACAAATATCACATATTAATCGTTTCAACAATTTTAGTTAATGTAATTGATTTCATTTTTAATATTTTCAGAGGCTTAAAATTTAAGTTCTACAAAAGTTATGTTAATCTAAATCCACAAAAATTAGCAAGAAACTAGTGGTATAAATCAAGAAGAAATTTATTCAATAGCAATTTATAAATTGAAGTGTTATATAAATAATCAGTCATTTAACTAAAAAATCTTTTCAATTAATCATGGTTTTTGTTTTATTCAATATTTGGTACACTCACTAACACTGATTTAATTTCTTATCCTGAATGATAAGCTCTTTAATGTTTTCAGTTTTCTTCTATTATTTATACATAAAAAAAACATAACCTTAATTTTTTTTATATATATTTAATAATAAAGTCATTATCAATAAAAGTTTTTATACCGAAGAGTGATCTATTATTACTTTTCTAAAGCTTTACTACATTCCACGCAATTGAGACATCTAATTTCAAAATCACATTTTTTTTTTTATAAAAAAAAAATCAGTTATATATAAAAATTTATGTTGATAAGCATAGATTTGGAAGGAAAAATATTTCATTGTAATTTTTCTCCTGTTTTTTTTTTTATTATTATTATTATTATTATTTACTTTTATTTATCCTTAAAAATGTCATAGACATTTGATGCATGAAAACAAAGATAAATAAAAAAAAATCAAAACCATGATTTTGCTGATACTAAGAAATATAAAATGCTTGGTTTTGATTAAATTTTGATCCGTTTGTTTCTTGATAGAATTTTGTTTTGACTAGTATCACTTGCATTTATCTTTCTCTCCCTTTTGATAAATTTATCTAGTAATGGAACTTTTGAAAAAGCATAAATAATTTATCTATTGAAATTGCTCTCATCTGTACTTAAAACAAAATTCAAGATAATTTTTTCAGATATGCTAGTTAAAGCTTATCAATTTGTAAAGTTGTATCTTAAAATAATTTCAAAAATATCCATACAAAATTTAAACTAAACACATGTAAAAAAGATTGGTCTTTGTTATTTTATGTTTTTTGGCCATTTTGAAAATTATTTTATATAAAGCATCATTTTATGAGTTCAATTTTTTCCCTCTCTATTTTATTAGTAGAAATATTTTTCTTTCCATTACTATATAACTTCATTTGTATCTTCTTTAAAAGATAATTAATTCAATTACTTTTTCAAATTTAATATTTAAATTTTATCAAGATTTGATGGAAATAAATGCATATCATATTAATTACTCACCAAAATACTCAGAGGTGTATAACTCACTGAAATTCTGCTAAAAAACGCATTCCAATAGATACTTAAATTAGTTTTTAAAAAATTATTATATTTAATTATTTAAATATATTCAAAATTTACTATATTATATAGTTTTTTTTTGCCAATAGTTTATTGAGCAGATTTAGAACGACATATATAAAGTTCTACTGCCTCTATAATTTTTTAAAATAAATTCAAAAATTATGTAAAGCAATAAAATAAACTTATCCTTCTAATTAGTTAATTGTTTCATTGCAATATATCAAATTATTTTTCTTTTTTATTTAACTTATAATAGTGTAAATTTTATAGTATATTTGAAACTGATAATTTGTTTAAAAGCTTTGTTCACTATATTTAGCTTTTTTATAGAGTTAGCTAGCTAGTTTATAAGCTTTGTTCACTATTAAAGGAGTAAACCTTCACATTGCCAAGTTTTTGAATCCACCTAAACAAAATTTATGTATCAGGGAATTGTTCAGTATCATACTACTAGATAAAAAGTAATATTTGACTATATACTGAATCTTTTCAAAGCATTTAGTAATTATTTTATAGGGCTAGAGAACAGCAGCAAAACAAAAGTTAATTTTTCTAGTCATTATTTTTTTAATGTATGCAAGTGATTTTAATCAACACTATATTGAAATGACTATTTTATTTAAACAAAATTAATTTACTAATAAATATCACAATCATGAAAAAAAATATTAGTCATGAAATTCTATCGATTTAAAAGTTTTTTCCTATAAAAAGTTAAAGGTATCAGCTGTGCCCTTCCTCTTACCGTTGTAGATGATGTTGAAGGTCTAGGAGTAGTAGTTCGGTAGTAACAACACTTGCAGTCTGCAACAAAACAAGTTAAAGATTTCTTATGCGCCCTCCTTATTAACTTCAAATCCCCCCAAGTAGGAGCAAACATTTTATCCCATTTAAAATCTGTTGCAGAATTGCACCATTCTATCAGTCCATCACTTTCCAAAGCAAATAAATTGTTTAATCTAATCAGTTTTACATTCGCCATTTTTCTGACTTTACCTGTCAGGTGAACATCATCCACCCAGAAATAAGGTACTTTTTTTACAGACTGATAAAGGCGATGGGCCACTTTTGGTGTCGTCAGGTAGGCCCATCCAGAGCAATAATCTTCAAATATGTCTGATGAATACTCTGTTTTGGAAACATACCATTTGCTAACTGGATCTCTCACTACTGGCATGCTTTTCTGATGAAAGCATGCAATATTGTTCTTCAAATCACCGTACTTCAACTTATTTTGCATGTAATCCATGAACTGGTAAATGTCTATGAAGATATCATCGTCCATTTTAAGTACGAATGTACTTTGGTTGCAGTTGTTGGATACCCAAGACAAACCCATTGCGTGTTTATAAGTTAAATTGCGGTATGAGTCGATAAAATTGCCTTGAATAATATCCCTATTACGATCATTTTCTTCATCTATTTCTCTCTGCAGGTCTTCATCAACAGCAAGAAGGAACGCTAATTTAACTATCGGAAATTGTTCCCCTGGATTTCCCCAGGTATCGCGAATAGTTTGGCGATGTTCAAAATGATTCGCTGCACTGTGAATTATGACCAATAAATATATCTGTTCGCTACATATATTATTAGTGATTCTGTAGTCGAAATCGTAATTTTCCAGCTTTGTTCTGATTTGCGGCACAAAAGAAAATTTTATTGCGTTTGAAATAATGTAGTTTGCTGTGAAAAGGAAAGACAAAGTAGTGAGGCTTGCTGCTATTATTAAACGTTTTAAGTTGCACAGATTATATTTTCCATTCAAATGGATAACTTTAAGCATCGTAGTGCTTGAAAATGTTAATATGTATCACATATTAAATCAAAGAAATTAATATATTTTAGTTTTAAAAATACACTTTCGAAAAATCTCTTTAACACCGATAAGAAATTTCATTTTCACCTCCGCAAAAAAGACCATAAGTTGTGAGTGGGTTTCAGTTTAGTCACGTGGTAAGTTCGCACGACACTTGATTGGCCAGAGTTATTCTACTTTATTTGGGAGTGACCCGTTTTGTTGATTTTCATTTTTGGTGTTTTACGAAACTTGCTTTTAAAGAACCTTGGAGCGGTGATTTAATTACCCCTGTCATCATATGGCGGGGAATAATTTTCGAGAATTTTTTTTTCAATGGTCTACTTATATAAAACTTCGAATATTGTTGTCGATATTACCGATTATTCTTGTTTTAATTTTTGATGTCCCACTTCAAAGTTGTTCTATTTAATCTACTTCAACATCGAACTCTCAGAGAAGCTACGCAAATGAGCTAAGCTCTTCCGAACTTTTTGTTATTTTATTGCTTCTTAAAATTAAAAAGTTATGTATTAAAATTTGTTCTAAAGCAAAATGTAAAATATATAGTGTTAGACACTCGCGAAATTTTTTTTCGTTATTGTACATAAGTTAATATTCTAATTATTTTTAGTTTCTTGTCTGTATTTTTCTTATTTCGTTCCAAACATATAAGAATAGAAATAAACGATATCAAAAAGAGAAATAAAAGTTTAAAAATGTCATTTTATGAAAAATTACTATTTCCGAGCCTTTGTAACTCGACACAGGTAAAAAAGTCCCCATTTCTTTGTTTATGCTCTTGGAACATAGAGGTAATTTTGACCCGATAGTTTAAAACATTTTTTTTTTTTTAATGGATATTAAAACTTTAAATAAATGCATTTTCATTTAATAAATTTAATTCGATCTCTGACGGAAATAGCACGATATTTCGCTGAATAGAGATTTTTGTTTTTATATTCAGAGGATTTTAAATTGCTGAATAGTATCACCAATACTTAAAAATGTTGAGGAAAAAACCAGTTTTACGCTACAGCTTGTATAAAGTAACATCCCCATGAGAATACTTTCTTTAAATTCTTTGACTGGGTTAATATTAATTTTGATTCTCGAAATGTAATTCTTAATAACTGCATTATTATAATAAAATTAATTAATTAACATAATTGGGTGTTCATCTTAGCGTTGCGTTTTACTGCGAAAACTTAGAAATTTGAAATCCCTAAGGTTTACAGAAAAGTGCACTGAGTAAGATTGAATAAAATAAGTGAACATTCGATTATTATAATAATCGAATGTTCATTTTTTTTACATAATTTTTTTTTTTTTTTTTAGTTTGAGAGTTATTAACTTTTAAACTCGTTGAAAAAAAATACCGCAAGGATAAAAACACAAAAGGCCATATTTGTTTATAAACTTCACACGTATTTTTTTTTTTTTTCTCTCTATTTTATNTTTTTTTTTTTTTTTTTTTTTTTTGAAAGTTATTCCAACTTTAAGAGCTTTATTCGTGAAATTTTCTAACTTTTTTTCCCCTTTTACCTTACGCTTTGCTGCCCATTTGGATGGAATAAAAAAATTTAACATTCGATTATTTGTCCGAGAATTATCAACTGTTAATCTTTTAATAGAAAAAAATACCCGGTGTTAGTTGATCTGTAACCCGCTGAAATGCAACTACGAAATAAAAAAATTTCCCTTGCTAACCAATTTGTTCAAGTTATTAAAATGTTTAACACTTTGTTTACGATTCTTTTTTCATGATTATATTTATCCAATGATGTAGAACATTTTATTTCTCTTACTAGAGATTTTCATCTCATAAACTCGTGCTCGTCAAAAGCAACAAAAAAATAACAAATCAATAAATAAAATAAAGAAAGAAAGAAAAAGATTAGATGTTCCTAGGTTTAAACCTTAACTTTTATATCGAATATTTTTCAAAATACTAGGAGGTTCCGCCTTGCCCCTCTCCTTTCACTGTGCTCATCTAACTCTGTGGTTGCTCCTCATTTCAGGGTGCGTAGCGTTTTTAAAAAGTGCTTAAAGGTGCTTTTTTCATTGCGTGTTTTTAAAAAGTGCTTAATTTTACTTTTTTCAAAATTAGATTTTTCCTTTTACTATGTTGATTTTCGCTTCGAATTATGCAAAAAGATACAGTTCAGATTGTTACATTCAACATTTTCACGATTACTTTAACACCCAATCTATTTCGGCGTATTGCCAGTCCGTAGCATATGAAAACGCCATTCGTTTTACATGATTCAAAATTTCATGATTTTTGACAATTGTCAAAAACAATGCCAAAGTGTTTTTTTTTTTTGTTGACATGACGGTTAAAACAAGATAAAATAAGTGCTTAAAAATATTTTTTAGTGCTTGAAAAGTTCTTATTTTTTGTTTAATAATTTGGTTACGCACCTGATCATTGAAGATCAAGCGAGAAGAACGGTTTTTGACAATTTTTAACAAAAATTACGATTGCATTGAAATCTATTGCATTTTGAGGATGATTAAATATTGGCAAATCAATAAAACGGAAAAATCGGTAACCCACCTTCCTCAAGAGTTATTACTCAGTGAAGTTGAGTCTTGCTGTGCAAAAAATCCTGTCCATATGCAAATTTGTTCCCCCCCCCCCCTCAGAATTAGCTTTAATCGACATAAACCGTTTTTTCCCTTGATATTAAAAGTTCTTTCCTTCAAAATCGATAAGAAAAATCTTTTTGTTAAAATAATATATAATTTTATGTAAGCACATTTTATTACTATGCTGTGACGAAATAAAATGATAATCGGATTTAAAAAATAATGAACTGTACTTGAAAACAAAATTTTAAACATGCAGAATGTACAGCGACATAAGAAATAATAAATGAGAAGTAAGTTTTCTTGTTAACAATATCTAACGATAACTTTATATGACATGACAGTTCGCGTTGGAAATAGTTTTTAACTATTTTCAGTCTTTAAATTTTTAAAAATTTCGATAAAAAAGCTAAGACTTATACCTGGCTACATCTAACCTCTCTCTTAAATTTTTTTTTTTTTTTTTGTTGTTGCTATTTTTGACATCAAGCCAAGTGCGAGTTTATAGTAATGAAAATTGCAAATAACTTAAGGACAAATAAGAATTTCGTTACGATTAGCTTATTAAAAAAAATTGTTTTTTTTTTTCGTTGCAAATATAGATTTTTCAGGGGGGAAAAAATTAATGAAAAGTAACCACGGAGGTTTGCGAATGAACGAAGCTTCCTGCCATTAAACCATTATATAAAGTTTATAACTGATTCTTGGATGTCGTATTAGAAAGATTTTTTTTGGTGGGGGGGGGAGGGATGGCGAAAGATTTTCGCAAATTATTTGCTGAAAATCGTCTTACATAAAAATGATAAATGTTTTTAAAAGATTGAATTTGATAATGGAAAAATAATATATTTCTTGGACGTAAGCGACTACGATGTTCAAAAATATCTTAAAAATGCATATCACAGGGGCCCAATTTTTGTGCTTCAATAGCTCACAAAATTTCACTCATAAGAAAAAAGAATTTCTTTCTTGTGCTAAATACCTATAAAAAAAAAAAAGAGCAATGATTTGTACATCTTTCTTGTTTTTAAAAAATTTAAATCAATAATTCACAAAAAAAAATTTTTATTGCTCTGAAATGTTAAGGGGGATAAAATATGTACCTGGCCGGACTAGCCTGGTTGGTAGGGCGTTGGAATCATATCCAAATGGGCGCAAGTGGGATCCCCGCCGGCCGAAGACTTCCCGTGAAGGAAATGGTGACTGGTACACGTTAAACCTGTCGGGTCACAAAATCCCCATAACAAATCGATAACTCGGGGGGTACGGAATTGGTTGTCCTCTGGTTCAGGTCAAAATTACGATCCGTGGATGAATTAATAGGTCCGCTCTTTAAAAAAGTGCTGTGACGTGTTCGACTGACGTTGTATTCTTGAACATAGATGGCGCCACTGAAAAATAAGAAGCGCACACTCTACCTTAAAATCGCTTGGTTTCACCAAGCCAAGCAGGCTTGCTGTTATTATTAAGTAGCATTAGAAACAATAACGCTTTCCAATAAAATTTCGTAGCAGCTAAAAGTACAACTATTAGCGTCTTTAAACCAAAAGAAATTAAGCTAACTTCCAGCATATTCTTTAGCGGATATGTGTTTACCAGCCGAAGTCAGTATTAACAGGCTCGATAATCTAGGTTTTATTTAAATTAAGATTTAAACATTCATCCAATGCCACCAATCATGAATATTTTTTTCTATATTTTAAACAGTGGTTCACACAGCACAGCGGTTGTTAACTGGGAAGAGAGGTAGACATAAGGTAGGATAATCCTACTAGGATTGAAAATTGCCAAGCCATTATAACTATGATCAGTAATGTCATCGTATGCAGCCATATTCGCTACTGTGGGCTTGCTGGTCATGCGCATTTGAAATGGTACTTACATTAACTTAATGGACAACTTTCCAACGTAGCTTTAATCCAAAACGTATTATTTTACCTACTTTTTGCTCTGAATAACAAAAACCGGACCTAAAACGCGCGCTCCCTTTCCTCACACACCTGCAAGGCAGTCTATTCCGCTTTGAACTACTTCCTGCCTTTCGAGGAAAGAGGTTCAATATGAGGCAAATATTTACATTGAAAAGGAAAAAGTGGAGAGATTCCGAAAATTTCTAGTTGTTTAATTTGTGTTTTCTAAAGATTAATGTCAAAAATTGCATTAAAATAGGCCCAGAAATAGATATTCAATCATAATTTAAAAACTTTAAAAGCAAGCTAAATCTTTAAATTAAGATACAACTATTTATGAAATGCAATTTTTGACAATGTACGTTCTGCATTCCCTCTAAGTTTTTAAGTGTTGAATTGCCCTGCGGCCTTAACAGGTTGTGAAATATGAAGTAATGGGGAAAGCATGTGAAGTGTTGCCATAAGTAGAGAGTTCTGCTATACGCCACCTGCAGTTCATTTCGATTTTTTTTGTCAATAGAAGGATTAAACTAAAAAATAAGTTGTTTTTTTTTCAAACAAAGCTCTCTGGGCTAAGAGCAGACTAATGCAAACGTACAGGAATTCGCCCTGTTTAATAAAATTATTTCTGCAAAAGATAATACCATTACCATTAATATTTATGAACTCTTGAAACAATAGTGTGAACTTTAAGCTTTGGCGTGAATATAAAAACGAAAAATTAACCTGGAAATATTTCTTATTTTTATAATCTGTGTTTAGTTTTATATTGAGGCATTACAGCCCAGTGTAACCTTAGTTTTGAATAATATGGATAATATACCTTTATCAGTATTATGTATTTGGAACAAAAATACCCAAAAGTTGAGATCAATAAGTCAGTTTTAAATCACACAACTGATTTTTTCATAAAGTGTGTCCAGTGAAGAACAGCTTTTAATACTCACTTTTATAGACAAGCAAAAAAGATAATAAATAAAGTAAAACTCAGCGCACAGAAGGTACTGTGCGCAAATTTTTTTTTCTCCCTCCTAAATATATGAGTGTAAGAAAGAACAAAAATGTTTTTGCTCTCTGATCAACCCTTTACTGATGTTAGTCTGAGCAAAGCAAGGATGAGAATCATCTAAAATAGTTAGTGTTTTTAGCCACTTTTTTTAATAACCTTTATTATATTTCGGAACAACTTCATTCTACTTTTCCCATCTAATAGTTGCTTCTGTTCAAGATACAGGTATTACAAAAAAAATTTGATACTAGATACGTATAGCCAAAACTTTTTTCCTTAAATATATAAAACCATTTTTAATTTGTCTAAAAGAGCAAACTGAAAATAGCCTCTAACCAAGGCTGGACACAGGATTTATAACTCCCAAGAAAAAAATTAAGAGCTCCTTCACAAAATCTAATTTTTAATACTAAGACTTTTCAAAGCAAAGATGTAACTTTAATGTTTTAAAATCAGTTTCATGTAAAAGTACTAAAATATAAATTTCTAATTCTTTTCATATTGATTTTTACTAAAAATTAAATGTTTGCTGTTTTATATTTCTATTAATATATCCCTAATGAGAATACATTCACTTCATTTGTGCACATTGCAAGCATATGTAAGTAACCCTCAGCAATTAAATAATAATAATTAAATTAAAAAGCATGCTATTTCTTGTTTTGACTGGGCCCCAAGATAATTGTATGTCTCTATGAAAAGTTAATAAAGCTTTCTATATACTGTAGTATATAAAGAATTTATCAATTTCATTTCATTAGAATTTATCATTTTCATTTTATTAATTTCATTTAAAGCTTTGACACTGAAAATATTAGCAATCTTATTTTACTTATTAAATATAATTACTTAAGTTACAAAATAAAAATATTCATTTTTATTGTAACGGATGTGTCTTAAAAATTAATCTCAGGTCCAGTAATTAAAAGGCAAGATCAATATGCATGTTCACTGAGCTGTTTACATGTCTCTATAAGAAAAAGAAGATTAAGGGAATTTAAATGAAAAATTACAATAGAGATTGAATGTAGAGTTTATTGGCACAAGGTCCAATTCAGGACATACTGCACCAAAATTACAATAGTGAGAACGTCTAATGCTGACAATTGATGAAATATGCTACTTTGTGACAAAAACACAAATGAAAACACAAAAGCGAAAATGGGCCAGCAGACAACTGATAATTATTTTATACTGGTCCAATTCAAATTTTAACAACCCAGACCATGTTAATTTTCACTCTTACAGGGTTGCCACTCAAATCTGGAAAAAAAATTCCCTGCACATGGTATACGCAATATATTAAGAGGAAACAACAATTACTGTGCTCTTGTGTGAGCTATATTGGACTAACTATATTTATTAGTTTCAATTGCTGGAAAAACAGCTGAACATACTTAAATAATACTATAGTAAATGAAATAGTTTAGAATAGCTGAAATATCATGGTTAAATATCCCATAGATTACGCTTTGAGTGGTCACCATTTTTTAAAAGATCAAAATATAAAAAAAAACAAAATTCCCTGTATTTTCCCAGTTTGTAAAGAAAAATTCAAAATTCCCTGTTCTTTAGGTGATTTTTAAATTCCCTGTATTTTCCAGGTTTTCCCTGTTCTCCCTGTAGAGTGGCAACCCTGTCTTATTCATTAGAAGTTCATATGAACCACATAATAACAATTTCCATTCTCTAAGTACTTTGTGGCTTTGCCTAGCATTACTTTTTTCGACAATTATCACTATGAATTTCTAAAATTTTAAAAATCCCATCAATTTTGACATCTAGACAATCCTACTGAATGTTTCTTCATGGTGTTCTTGTCTCGTACTATAATTTTAAAAGTAATGCGTTAAGTCTAAGATAGGAAACATTTATAATTCTTGTAGGGAGACACACCAAGTATATGTACAATACTGTTTAAAACTGAACAATTTGAGCCTCAAGCATTCATTGTACCAAGCTGCCAGAGGTATATGGGTAGCGAACCACAGTTTGAAACATATTTAAGATAACATGCTGATATTTAAGAGAATATTTTTAATTTCCTTTGGACTTTCTATATTATTTTCTAATGCAACACAAATTCACTTGTGTTACATCTACTGGTGTTTTTGATACATATTAATTTTTTTATAAGTAACATAATTAAAATATGCATACCAAGAAATATAAATATACCTAATGAATTTTGATTACAGTTAGACAAGTGTATATTACTTGGCAGCCAACTAACTATTCGTTATAGATTGTTTTTTTTTTAAATGCAATTAAAAGAATACAAAAGAGTATTGTTCTTTATGAGCAGACTGCAAAACCTCAGCATTTTAAGAGTTTTCAATACAGTGAACTCTCGCTACTACGATATCCGATACAATAACTGCCTCGATTACAATAATGTTTTGTGGTCCCGACGAGCTAGCACATGAATTAATGTTATCCTCCCCTCAATATTGCAATATTCTCTAAAACAATTAATCCCTGTAAAATGATTTTTTTTTTCAAATTTCAACCTTATTTTCTCCATTTATTATTGATTTTCAAATAATGTAAAAAATCTTATTTTTTCATATTTTGCCTTTTTTTTACTGGCCCTTTCTGACAAGAGAACACTCTCTGCTGATTATGTACTTATTTTATTTCTTTTCACCACAGTGACTGGCTTTTGTATTCAGATTTCAACACCCCATCCTTGACCTACATAGACCAACCCCAAGACCTTAGAATTGCCTGACTTATCTTTTAAGAAGTTAACCAAAATTAACACTCTGCAAATTAAATTTTATATAATATATAAATAGATTTTTAGTTATTACAAATATAACATTAAAAAAAAATAATCTTATTGTGTCCCTAAAATATGTAGGCCCTCGATATATTAATATATCCCTCCATAAAAATACATTTATTTGGTCACTAAAATACTGTTGCTGCAAAGTTTTACTGTATATACTCTTATGCTTGCTTTGCAATCAAGGACCACAACAACATACGGGTTAATAACACAAATATTAACAGGAGGGGTAGATGGTAAAGAAGAGTTGATGATAAATTATATATTGACACATTTTAAAATAACTAAAAATTTTAATAATAACAAATTATATTCTCATATTCAAAATATTTTTTTTCTTCAGAAATGCATTAACATAATTAATCTTTTATCATCCATTTCAGGCTACTCATTCATTTAGAAAATTCTATTAATTTTAAGTATGGAACAATACTTTTCAGGGGTCTGTTTAGAAGAAATTTGAGTCTATTAACGAACCCTTCACAAAATATATTTTCGTAAAACGGCCCCTTCATAAAATATATTTCCATAAAAACGGACCCTTCACAAAATAATTTATCTTTAATTGGGCCCTTGACAAATTTGTTTATCTTCCTTATTGTTTTGTTAATAGTATAAACCCTTTCTGGGGAGGGGGGGGAGGGGCTCCAGACAAACTAAATTCCAAATGTAGTATTCTAAGAAAATATTTCTACTAATAAACATCGTGAGCGCATTGTTATTAATATTAAATCATAATTTTTTTCTACATAAATAATCAATAAATTTATTTTTATTCATAAAATTAATTAATAGAATATTATGTAAATAAAAATTAATCTCTGGTAATTTTTTAAATAAAATATTATAAATTTAAGATTTGTTTAAGTTTACTTAATGCGTAAAACATTGAAACTGATACATTACTAAGTTGTGTTATTTAAAATATGTCAATTGAAATTATTAAAAATGTCAGTGATTTTGTTTCCATTATTCATCCTAAATGAATATTCTATGTTGAGCAGTACAGGCAAAATACCAAATATTTGTATGATGCACCTCTAATTTAGTAGCAGCAATTGTTGAGCAGAATCTTGAATCTATTTACAATTTAAAAACTTTTTGAAAAGGTTTTTAGCAATAACAGGACCTTGGTTGAAAGAATGTGACTTTATTTTATATTCCCAAATTATGAATAGTTTTTTCACAATTTTAGAAAAACAGAACCTTTCACAAAATGTCTGGACAGACCCCTGCTCTCTAACTAAAAAGTTTCATTTATGCCAGAGATTAAAAATAGAAGATGGGAAACTCATTTAACTTCTTTCATGAAAATTTAAAAAATCTTATAGAGAGCTTAGACAGATCTTTCAAAAACTTTTAGAATTCATATTTTTTTAAAAAGAGAAACAAATCATTTTTTTAAATAAAGGAAACAAACTTTGCAGTTGACCTTTCAACTAACCAAATTTTTATAAATACAAATAGCTACTGAAAATATAGCTATAATAGCTACTGAAACAATAACAGATTAATATTTCAGTCATTTCTAAACCTAATCAAAACTTAACGATTCAATAGTTTCAGCGACACTATTTGCCTCCTTATCCAGCTTCTTGCGGCGCTTTTTCATTTGCTTAAACCTCTTCTTTACCATTTTATTTTTTTGTAGGTCATTCATAGCGATATCAGTCTCATTATTTTTGCTTTTCTTTTTCTTGGCATCAAAAGTTACAGTAACTTCTCGATTGGTTGACTCGTTATCTTCCGTCTCCATTTCATTTGAGCCTCCTGTCTCCTCTAATCGCCCTTCAGTTGGTTCAGTAGATTGCACTGCAACACCTCTGCTGGGAAATACTCCTGGAGCTTTATCAAGTTCCATTTGCTCTTCCAGACAAGAAATATCAAATGCTTTGCTCATTTCTGCAACATAAGTTGTGCTTATGTATGTAGATGGCTTGAAAACCTCAGGAGGATGTGTATAATATTTAATATACCCTCTATTCCAGTCATTAATTAGACGTCTAGCACCTTCCTCAACATTGGGAATGCCACCTTTTTTAAATTTGCCCATTCTTTTGGCTAACAAACACAACAATTCATGAGTCGACGTGAATTCGGGTACGGTGTAGTGTAGTCGAAGTTGAGTGTGATCTGCTCTTTGTATGATAGCCTCAGCTGGAGTGATAACATCTTTTAATGTTTCAACTTTAACAACATTCCGCAGTGCTAATGTCGTAGCAGAGCCGTCCTTTGCAAAAACAACACCAGGAGAATCCAAAATTTTTATGTGTTTATCTAATGATACTTCCTGAACGGACTTGGTCACACCTGCTGTAGCACCCACACCACATGATCTTGACCTCTTCAAACTGTTGATGACACTGCTTTTACCGACATTAGGAAAGCCAACAACTCCCACTTTTATTAGGGTTTGAATATTCTGACTTCTACAATAATTTCCTAGCACTTTCATTAGAAAAGAAGCACCAACACATCTGCTTGATTGCTTTAAGCTTTCATTGATATGAATAGCGGCAACCTTAGATTGAGAGAGGTTTGTATTCTGTGATTGTGTTGAAGCTTTGAAAGCAACAGTTGGCAGTTCTTGGCGTAGATATTTTAGCCAAGCTTCAAGACTTGCTCGAGGAACCAGATCGATTTTATTTAATACCAACACTAGCTTCTTTCCTCTGCTGATGACCATTTCTTCAATCTGTGGACACCTACTACCCAAAGGATCTCTGGCATCCAGAACTTGCAAAATAACATCAGCTGCTTCGA